TCACGTACTGTGTCACCCTGTCTCACGTGCTGTGTCACCCTGTCTCACACACTGTGTCACCCTGTCTCACTGTCACCCTGTCTCACGCACTGTGTCACCCTGTCTCACGTACTGTGTCACCCTGTCTCATGTGCTGTGTCACCCTGTCTCACGTACTGTGTCACCCTGTCACACGTACTGTGTCACCCTGTCCCACATACTGTGTCACCCTGTCTCACGTGTTGTGTCACCCTGTCTCACGTGCTGTGTCACCCTGTAACACGTGCTGTATCACCCTGTCTCACGTACTGTGTCACCCTGTCTCACGTACTGTGTCACCCTGTGTCACGTGCTGTGTCACCCTGTGTCACGTGCTGTGTCACCCTGTGTCACCCTGTCTCACGTACTGTGTCACCCTGTCTCACGTGCTGTGTCACCCTGTCTCACCCTGTCTCACCCTGTCTCACGTACTGTGTCACCCTGTGTCACGTGCTGTGTCACCCTGTGTCACGTGCTGTCACCCTGTGTCACCCTGTCTCACGTACTGTGTCACCCTGTGTCACGTAATGTGTCACCCTGTCTCACGTGCTGTGTCACCCTGTCTCACGTGCTGTGTCACGTGCTGTGTCACCCTGTGTCACGTGCTGTGTCACCCTGTGTCACGTGCTGTGTCACCCTGTGTCACGTGCTGTGTCACGTGCTGTAGCCACTCGCTCCCCTTCGGCTATTCTCGTAGCCCCCGTTTATACTGTAAAAAACCGGAAGTGACGTCATGGGTTCAACCAACGGAGCGTCTAGCCACAGGGGGGGGGTTTACACAGTTGGGATATTCCAAATCAAATATAACCAGTCCGTCAACAAATGTATGACGGATGTACATCAAATATATATACAGAAATAATACACTCACTTTACGTTTTATGGCTCTTACATTAGCAGCCCCTAATTGGCTAGGCAGGGAGCATACCAATTACTATTAACTTTAACCTTAAGAGCCACAAACTCTAAACAATAATCTTTACTTATAACAATAATAACGTCTCGTATTTCTGCCACTTATTGGCTTTCTTGAGCCTTCTCTTTATCTTATCCGTATACTTTCATGTTGCTTCTTGTGACAGATAGAGTTTTTAAAAGTTCGCTCTAGTGTGCTGAACTTCGTTTTAACACACGCACACACGACAGACTGAACTGTTGGAGTCTGGCATGGTCTTGATGATTCTTCTGGCTGAAGCGGATTAGGACGATCTCAGCCTGGGTCCAATGTTCCACTGTAAGCAGTTCCTTCTCCAGTGTTGCTTTGAGTTTCTGCATGCACTGCTTGAGAAGTATCTCCTGCCTCTCTGGGGTCACGTTCAGCCTGACTGACTGTAGCTGGATACTCTTTCATTTGACTCTTCAAATGCAGCAGAATCACTTTCAGTTGGAAAAACCATGCCATTGCTCTCTTCAGATGATACCAACTTGAGTAGTGATTGACAAGTCTGTTCACTGGATTAGAGTTATCTTTGATACGGAGGAGACTGACTGTAACCGACTTCTTGATCTCATCATCATCTGAGTTTTGACTCGTTTGAATTGGTCGTTCTGTCCATTCACTGGGAGCCATCCACATGAATTTGGGTTCCTGAATCAATTTTTCACTTTTTATGAAGTTATCAGCTTTCAAACCTCTTGAAGCATGTTCTGCTGGGTTTACAAAGGTATTGATATACCTCCAATAGGTCGGTTCTGTGGCCTCACAGATTGTAGCGATCCTGTTTGCTACAAAGGTCTTGGAACGACTGGTTTCATTGTCTATGTACTTCGGCACTGCAGTGCTCTCCGTCCAAAAGGTAGACTCTTCGAGCAGCACTTGATGTTCTTGTCCGAGCCTCTTATCCACCTTTATGGCTTTTTCTTCCGTGATAGACGGTATGACGACTCTGCTGTTGCTTACCCACTTTGTCAAGTTGAATCCCTCACTAGAACACAAAGTTCGGAGATCTCTTGACAGGGTGACAGCACGGTCTTCAGATGACACAGGCTTCAAGCAGTCGTCGTTGTGGAAGTTTCTGCGTACTGCGTCAACCGCCTCTGGTGTTGACTCGGTTCTTCCATCTTCGGGCTGTTCTTCTCAGTGCGTAGGATGCACAGCTGGGTGATGACGTGGCTCCAAACAGGTGGGCAGTCATTCTGTACTCCTCTCTGGTTTGACTCGGGTCGCCATCGGGCCACCACTCGATGTCCGCCATCATACCCCAAAGTTCCTTTCTAAATCTGGTCAACACACCATTGAGAGTGTTGGCGAGATTAGCTCTTTGGAGAAACTGCCCATTCAATGAGGTTCCTTGCTATGTTGCAGTGCAGTCGAAGACTGCACGGATCTTCTTTTGCTTCGCATGGTACACCCCATGATGAGGAATACACCACACTCTTCCGTCTTCTCGTTCCAGCTGCCTTTTAGGCACCTTCACAGCAAAGCCCTTTGCAGTGTCTCTCGTGAAGCCCTTGTGGTCCTCGTGGAAATCTGGGTTCTTGCTCGGCCTTCTCTTGAGACTGCTGATGCGCTGCCTTGCAACCCAGCGGTGGTTCAGCATTTCCATCTTCTCACTTCTCAATGGCAAACCAGTGGTATAGTGTCCATCGACCAGCTCAGCTGACCTTGTCACAGATTGCATGAACTGATGGTCGTCTTGTGACATCTCTGTTTTGTCCTCGTAACTGCGTTCTGAGAAGTCTGTGTTGTATTGTTGGACTAACAGTTCTTCAATGTTTGAGATGGAGATACGGTTTGCTGTGAAACGTTGCCATTTTCCATTGGCGTCTCCTGTTCTCAAAGGTCCGTTCACTACCCAGCCAGGAGTGGCCTTGATTGCGTAGGGTCCATCACCTTCACTATTTATCACCTTCCATGGTTCCATTGCTTTGTGTGCATTAGTTCCTATCAGCAGGCCTATCTCTGCCTCAATGCATGGGAGGTGCACTTCTGTCAGACAGGGCCATCTCTCGACATCACGCTGTAGTGGTATGTTTCCTTTATTCACTGGAATGTCACTGTGGGTGAAGACCTTTGGCAGGTCAATATAATCTCCCTCCTCAAGTCCACTCACTTCCAGGTCTGACAGGATATAACTGTGTACCGACTTCTCCTGACCCATGGTTCGCTGAAGGATTTCAGTCTTCCTGCCTCTGACGTTGAGTTGTTTCCTCCGGGTTTCAGTACAAAACGTCGCTGAACTCCCTGGATCCATGAATGCGTATGTCTCCACACTCGTCACACTTCTTTTGGATTTGATTTTCACTGGAACGATGGCGAGAATACAATGTCCGTCTCCAGCCCCGGTGTAGCCACAAGTTTCATGCTTAAGGGACGCGATAGCACTTCTTATACTCCTTGCTGAGGTGCCCTTGTATAAGACATCCAAAGCAAAGCCTTCTTTTCTTCAGAAACTCGATTCTGCCTTTCTGTGGCTGTTCTCTGATCTTAATGCAAGAGTCCAGTGGTTTGATTCATCTCGCAGAACAAGCAGGCTTGTCTCGACTGGGTCACACCGACTGGGTGTGACTGACTGGGTCACACCGACTGGGTGTGACTGACTGGGTGTGACTGACTGGGTCACACTGACTGGGTCACACTGACTGGATCACACTGACTGGGTGTGACTGACTGGGTCACACTGACTGGGTGTGACTGACTGGGTCACACCGAATGGGTGTGACTGGGTGTGACTGACTGGGTGTGACTGACTGGGTCACACTGACTGGGTGTGACTGACTGGGTCACACTGACTGGGTGTGACTGACTGGGTGTGAATGACTGGGTGTGACTGACTGGGTCACACCGACTAGGTGTGACTGACTGGGTGTGACTGACTGGGTCACACCGACTGGGTGTGACTGACTGGGTCACACTGATTGGGTGTGACTGACTGGGTCACACCGACTGGGTGTGACTGACTGGGTCACACTGACTGGGTCACACTGACTGGGTGTGACTGACTGGGTCACACCGACTAGGTGTGACTGACTGGGTGTGACTGACTGGGTGTGACTGACTGGGTCACACCGACTGGGTGTGACTGACTGGGTCACACCGACTGGGTGTGACTGACTGGGTCACACTGACTGGGTGTGACTGACTGGGTGTGACTGACTGGGTCACACTGACTGGGTGTGACTGACTGGGTCACACTGACTGGGTGTGACTGACTGGGTGTGACTGACTGGGTGTGACTAACTGGGTGTGACTGACTGGGTCACACCGACTGGGTGTGACTGACTGGGTGTGACTGACTGGGTGTGACTGACTGGGTCACACCGACTGGGTGTGACTGACTGGGTGTGACTGACTGGGTGTGACTGACTGGGTGTGACTGACTGGGTGTGACTAACTGGGTGTAACTGACTGGGTCACACCGACTGGGTGTGACTGACTGGGTGTGACTGACTGGGTGTGACTGACTGGGTGTGACTGACTGGGTCACACCGACTGGGTGTGACTGACTGGGTCACACTGACTGGGTGTGACTGACTGGGTGTGACTGACTGGGTGTGACTGACTGGGTGTGACTAACTGGGTGTGACTGACTGGGTCACACCGACTGGGTGTGACTGACTGGGTGTGACTGACTGGGTCACACCGACTGGGTGTGACTGACTGGGTCACACCGACTGGGTGTGACTGACTGGGTGTGTGTGTCTGTGTCCCTGTGTGTCTGTGTGTGTGTGTGTCTCTGTTTGTCTGTGTGTGTCTGTGTGTGTGTGTCTGTGTGTGTGTGTGTCTCTGTGTGTCTCTGTGTGTCTGTGTGTGTGTCTGTGTGTTGGTCAAATGAACACAGTTTAGTTGACATGAGCCACGAGGCAGAAGAAGAAGACTGGAGGGAGTGGTGGACGCAGGAAAGGAATGACCTCGAGTTGACCTTTGCCGCCCGCCACCGTGTTCCCTCCTCCCTCTGCCCCCCTCCCTCTGTCCCCCTCCCTCTGTCCCTCCCCCCCTCCCTCTGTCCCTCCCCTGTGCCCCCGCCCACCTCGCCCCCCAGACCTGAAACGAGAAGCCAGCATCTGCCACATGCTGAAGCACCCCCACATCGTGGAGCTGCTGGAGACCTACAGCTCCGATGGGATGCTCTACATGGTGTTCGAGTTGTGAGTTGCACGCACGCACGGGCACACACAGACACGCACAGGCACGCACAGGCACAGGCACGCACAGGCACATGGGCATGCACGGGCACACATGCACAGGCACGCACGCACAGGCACGCACGCACAGGCACGCACAGGCACGCACGCACGGGCACGCACGCACAGGCACGCACGCACAGGCACGCACGCACAGGCACGCACAGGCACATGGGCACGCACGGGCACACACGCACGGGCATGCATGCACGGGCACGCACGCACACAGGGACGGGCACGCACGCACATGCGCTACAAAGCCGGCGACCTGAGTTCGATTCACGGCCACCAACACCGGCGACGGTTATCCAAACCGGTTCCGGGGCTCCCCGAGGTCAACTCGGCCTCAAATTAGTACCCGGTGCGGCGGTGCAGTAAACATCGCCACTGGGGGAGACAAAGGCGGCCGGGCGTGGTGCTGGCCTCCCAGTGGCGGCCTTCATAGGTGCTCGCTATCGGCACTTGCCCCAGCAGTCTGTGTGTGTGGTCTCCACGGGGGATCTTTACGTGTGTGCGTGTGTGATTGTGTGTGCGTGTGTGCTTGTGATTGTGTGTGTGATTGTGTGTGTGTGATTGTGTGTGTGTGTGATTGTGCGTGCGTGTGCTTGTGTGTGCGTGTGATTGTGTGTTTTTTGTGTGATTGTGTGTTTGTGTGTGTGTGATTGTGTGATTGTGTGTGTGTGTGATTGTGTGTGTGATTGTGTGTGTGATTGTGTATGTGATTGTGTGTGTGTGTGTGCGTGTGATTGTGTGTGTGTGTGATTGTGTGTGTAGCGGTTAACGCGCTGCGCTATGAACCTGGCGACCCGGGTTCGTTTCCCGCTCACGGCCAACATCAGTGACGATTATCTGAACCGGTCCCGGGCCTCCCCTAGGTCGACTCAGCCTCAAATGAGTACCTGATGCGGTGTGTAATCATTGCCATTAGGGAGACAAAGGCGGTCGGGCGTGGTGCTGGCCACCCACCCCCTTGCGTACCGTTCCGGCCTTCATAGGTGCTCGCTAACAGCACTTGCCCCTACAGTCTGTTAAGGCTATATGGGGGATATTTGATCTTTGTTATTGTGTGTGTGTGAGTGTGATTGTGTGTGTGTGTGTGATTGTGTGTGTGATTGTGTGTGTGTGATTTTGTGTGTGTGTGTGATTGTGTGAGTGTGCGTGTGATTGTGTGTGTGTGATTGTGTGTGTGATTGTGTGTGATTGTGTGTGTGTGTGATTGTGTGTGTGATTGTGTGTGTGATTGTGTGTGTGATTGTGTGTGTGTGATTGTGTGTGATTGTGTGTGTGTGATTGTGTGTGTGTGATTGTGTGTGTGTGATTGTGTGTGTGTGATTGTGTGTGTGATTGTGTGTGTGTGATTGTGTGTGTGTGATTGTGTGTGTGTGATTGTGTGTGTGTGATTGTGTGTGTGTGTGATTGTGTGTGTGATTGTGTGTGTGCGATTGCCCCCCACCACCCCACCGCTGCACGTGTCCCCGCAGCATGGACGGCGCTGACCTGTGCTTCGAGATCGTCAAGCGGGCGGACGCGGGATTCGTGTACAGTGAGGCCGTGGCCAGGTGGGTGACAGCCAGCCCCCACCCCACGTGACCCCCCCCACCACCCCCCCACCCCACGTGACCCCTCCCCCCCCACCACGCCCCCCCCCCCCTCCAGGCTGATCAACTTCCCAACCAAGCCACAGAAGCGCGCGACAGAAATCAACGAATCCATCGGTGCGGCGCCGCTTTGCGTGCCAATCCACAGCTGTCATGATGCGTGGGGTGGAGGGGGTGGAGGGGGTCGAGGGGGTCGAGGGGGTGGCGGGGGTGGCGGGGGTGGCGGGGGTGGAGGGTGGGGGCTCTGTACCCTCTCCATCCATCCCATTGTGAAGGCAGTTCTACAGGAACTATCACCGCTCTCTCTCTCTCTCTCGCCGCCGCCGTTTGTTTTGACCGCGCGCGGTGCTTCGACGCCCCCGCCCTTCTCTGTCCGTCGTTTCGCACCCGCAGCCACTACATGCGTCAGATCCTGGAGGCCCTCCGCTACTGCCACGACAACAACGTCATCCACAGGGACATGAAGGTAAAGGCGCCCCAGGTAGCCCCGCGCATGCCAGAAGGGGGGCAAGTGGCCGGCACCCGCCCGGCCGTCTTTGTCTCCCCCGGCGGCGATGCTCGCTGCACGGCTCTCCGCCGGGTCGCTGGCGCGAGCGTCCGCTCCCCACGTGATTGGACGCTCCCCACGTGAGTGGGGAGCGTCCAATCACGTGAGTGGACACTCCCCACGTGAGTGGACACTCCCCACGTGAGTGGACATTCCCCACGTGAGTGGACGCTCCCCACGTGAGTGGACGCTCCCCACGTGATTGGACGCTCCCCACTCACGTGGGGAGCGTCCAATCACGTGAGTGGACACTCCCCACGTGAGTGGACGCTCCCCACGTGAGTGGACACTCCCCACGTGAGTGGACGCTCCCCACGTGAGTGGACGCTCCCCACCTGAGTGGACACTCCCCACGTGAGTGGACACTCCCCACGTGAGTGGACACTCCCCACATGAGTGGGGAGTGTCCACTCACGTGAGTGGACACTCCCCATGTGAGTGGACACTCCCCACGTGAGTGGACGCTCCCCACGTGAGTGGACACTCACGTGAGTGGACACTCCCCACGTGAGTGGACGCTCCCCACGTGAGTGGACACTCACGTGAGTGGACATTCCCCACCTGAGTGGACACTCCCCACGTGAGTGGACGCTCCCCACGTGAGTGGACGCTCCCCACGTGAGTGGACACTCCCCACGTGAGTGGGGAGTGTCCACTCATGTGAGTGGACACTCCCCACGTGAGTGGACACTCCCCACGTGAGTGGACACTCACGTGGGGAGTGTCCACTCACGTGAGTGGACACCCACGTGAGTGGACACTCCCCACGTGAGTGGACGCTCCCCACATGAGTGGGGAGCGTCCACTCACGTGAGTGGACACTCCCCACGTGAGTGGACACTCCCCACGTGAGTGGACGCTCCCCACGTGAGTGGACACTCCCCACATGAGTGGGGAGTGTCCACTCACTCACGTGAGTGGACACTCCCCACGTGAGTGGACACTCCCCACGTGAGTGGACGCTCCCCACGTGAGTGGACACTCACGTGAGTGGACACTCCCCACGTGAGTGGGGAGCGTCCACTCACGTGAGTGGACACTCCCCACGTGAGTGGACACTCCCCACGTGAGTGGACGCTCCCCACGTGAGTGGACACTCCCCACGTGAGTGGACACTCCCCACGTGAGTGGACACTCCCCACATGAGTGGGGAGTGTCCACTCACGTGAGTGGACACTCCCCACGTGAGTGGACGCTTCTCGCGCGCACAGACAAAAGTCCCCCGTGTAGCCTCGGCAGGCTGCCGGGGCGAGTGCTGTTAGCGAGCGCCCCTGAAGGCCGCCACTGTGGAACCCGGGGGGAGGGGGGGGGGGCAGCGCCACGCCCCTCCCCGTTGCTGTTCGTTAAATATTGTTTACTTGTTTCTGCCAGGATCAAAGTCTAAAAAGAAGAGGGCTTTACCCTTCTCTGGCAATAAAACATCAAATAGATTAAACCTCTGGCGAGGAATAAAGTTCCCGCATTAACCACACGCACGGTACACTTTGTGGTGAACATGCAAACAAACCGGGCTCTGATGATAATAACAATATAATAATATAATAACAATTTAATAATAATAATAATCTATGATGATGGATTGTCTTCGAAAGATTCGAAAGAGACAGCAGCCTTCAATGGGGCCGAGTGTCACCACCAGTGTCAGACCAGAAGTCGCGTTCTCTGGTGCAGGCCAATCAGTTTCGAAGACAATCCATCGTAGATTATTATTATATTATTATATTATATTGTTATTCTCATCAAAGCCGTCTTTGTTTGCATGTGCACCACAAAGTGTACCGTGCGTGTGCTAAATGCAGTCACTTTATTCCTTGCAAGAGGTTTAATTATTCGGTGTTTGAACATCTTCACACCCCCCCGTGTTATTAGTGCCAGGGAGGAGGGTAAGGCCCCTATTACCCGTGTTTATTGACGGCACTTGCCCCCGCCGTGAGTCTGCGCGGGCTACACGGGGCCCGCCCGCCCGCTCGTGCCGCGGTGCCGCCCTGGGTGGGCGCTGCTGCCGGCTCGCAGTGCTTGGCGCGCCGCCAGTGTGCCGAGGCTGCGTGTTTGTGTCTGGCCAGCCGCACTGCGTCCTCCTCGCCTCCAAGGAGAACTCCGCGCCGGTCAAGCTGGGGGGGTTCGGCGTCGCCATTCAGCTCGGGGAGTCCGGGCTGGTCGCTGGCGGTGGGTGCAGCACTGCACAGATACACACACGCACAGGTACACGCACACACACACACACACGCACAGGTACACACACAGGTACACACACACACGCACACAGGTACACACGCGCACAGGTACACACACAGGTACACACATACACACGCACACAGGTACACACGCGCACAGGTAGACACACACACACGCACACAGGTACACACGCACACAGGTACACACACACACGCACAGGTACACGCACAGGTACACACACGCACAGGTACACGCACGCACAGGTACACGCACACACACGCACAGGTACACGCACACGCACAGATACACACACAGGTACACACGCACGCACAGGTACACACACACGCACAGGTACACACGCACGCACAGGTACACACACACACACAGGTACACACACAGGTACACACACGCACAGGTACACACACACGCACAGGTACACACACAGGTACATGTACACACACGCACAGGTACACACACACGCACAGGTACACACACGCACGCACAGGTACACACACACACACAGGTACACACACAGGTACACGCACACACGCACAGGTACACGCACAGGTACACGCACACGCACAGGTACACACACACAACAACCGCCATTCGCCACTAAGTGGTGGTGACGTCACCACGACGCTTGTGCCAGGCTATGTGCACCCTGAGGCCACGTGAAGTGTCGAACGCCCGCTGGCAGGAGGTCACGGGGCAGACCCAGGTGCCACGGGTCGACTGACTGAGATGACTGGCTGATGCACCACCTGTGCCCCCTACTGTGCCAACCTGCTGTGCTTTAGCCATCCGGCGCTCTGCTCGTTGTTCTGAGCGTCGCTCCTCCGCCCTCCGTTGTTGTTGGAGGGCGACTGCCTCCAACTGCCCAGTAGCATCCTTCACGAGCCTCCTCCACAGAGGCCGATCTTGACACCGCTGGTACCAGTCATCGGCAAGTCCACTCAGCTCCACGTCCTCCTGTACCACATCACTCCATCTCTTCTCTAGCCCGTGCCGCGCCCGCTTAGCCCCCTCAATCCGGCCAAACAAAAGCTGTTTCGGCATGCGGTGGCTGGGCATGCGGGCTACATGACCCAGCCATCGCAGCCTTGCCTGCCGGAGGAGCTCACCGATGGGACCCTGCCCAGATCTTTCAAGGATTTGTGAGCTCCTCACACAATCCAGTCTGCAGGTTAAACCCAGGATGGATCGTAGGCAGGCCAGCCTATATGTTTATATACATATATACATATACACAGATACATATACACAGATACAGATACACAGATACAGCTACACAGATACATACACACAGATACATATACAGATACACAGATACATATACACAGATACATACACACAGATACATACACACAGATACATACACACAGATGCATATACACAGATACATACACACAGATACATATACACAGATACATACACGCAGATACATATACGCAGATACAGATACACAGATACATACACGCAGATACATACACACAGATACATATACACAGATACATACACACAGATACATATACACAGATACATATACACAGATACACAGATACATATACACAGATACAGATACACAGATACAGATACACAGATACATATACACAGATACATATACACAGATACATACAGTGAGGGAACAAAGTATTTGATCCCCTGGTGATTTTGTACGTTTGCCCACTGACAAAGAAATGATCAGTCTATAATTTTAATGGTAGATTTATTTGAACAGTGAGAGACAGAATAACAACAAAAAAATCCAGAAAAACGCATGTCAAAAATGTTATAAATTGATTTGCATTTTAATGAGGGAAATAAGTATTTGACCCCTCTGCAAAACATGACTTAGTACTCGGTGGCAAAACCCTTGTTGGCAATCACAGAGGTCAGACGTTTCTTGTAGTTGGCCACCAGGTTTGCACACATCTCAGGAGGGATTTTGTCCCACTCCTCTTTGCAGATCTTCTCCAAGTCATTAAGGTTTTGAGGCTGACGTTTGGCAACTCGAACCTTCAGCTCCCTCCACAGATTTTCTATGGGATGAAGGTCTGGAGACTGGCTAGGCCACTCCAGGACCTTAATGTGCTTCTTCTTGAGCCACTCCTTTGTTGCCTTGGCCATGTGTTTTGGGTCATTGTTATGCTGGAATACCCATCCACGACCCATTTTCAATGCCCTGGCTGAGGGAAGGAGGTTCTCACCCAAGATTTGACGGTACATGGCCCCGTCCATCGTCCCTTTGATGCGGTGAAGTTGTTCTGTCCCCATAACAGAACAACACCCCCAAAGCATAATGTTTCCACCTCCATGTTTGACGGTGGGGATGGTGTTCTTGGGGTCATAGGCAGCATTCCTCCTCCTCCAAACACGCCGAGTTGAGTTGATGCCAAAGAGCTCAATTTTGATCTCATCTGACCACAACACTTTCACCCAGTTGTCCTCTGAATCATTCAGATGTTCATTGTCAAACTTCAGACGGGCATGTGTATGTGCTTTCTTGAGCAGGGGGATCTTGCGGGCGCTGCAGGATTTCAGTCCTTCACGGCGTAGTGTGTCACCAATTGTTTTCTTAGTGACTATGGTCCCAGCTGCCTTGAGATCATTGACAAGATCCTCCCGTGTAGGTCTGGGCTTATTCCTCATCGTTCTCATGATCATTGCAACTCCACGAGGTGAGATCTTGCATGGAGCCCCAGGCCGAGGGAGATTGACAGTTCTTTTGTGTTTCTTCCATTTACGAATAATCGCACCAACTGTTGTCACCTTCTCACCAAGCTGCTTGGCAATGGTCTTGTAGCCCATTCCAGCCTTGTGTAGGTTTACAATCTTGTCCCTGACATCCTTGGAGAGCTCTTTGGTCTTGGCCATGGTGGAGAGTTTGGAATGTGATTGATTGCTTCTGTGGACAGGTGCCTTTTTTACAGGTAACAAGCTGAGATTAGGAGCACTCCCTTTAAGAGTGTGCTCCTAATCTCAGCTCGTTACCTGTATAAAAGACACCTGGTTATTCTGTCTCTCACTGTTCAAATAAACCTACCATTAAAATTATAGACTGATCATTTCTTTGTCAGTGGGCAAACGTCCAAAATCAGCAGGGGATCAAATATTTTTTTCCCTCACTGTACACAGATACAGATACACAGATACATACACACAGATACAGATACACAGATACATATACACAGATACACTTCATGGTGATGGCAGCGGTGGCGATGGTGGCGGTGGTGATGATGATGATGATGGCGGTGATGGTGGCGGTGGTGATGATGATGGTGGCGATGGTGGCGGTGATGGTGGCGGTGATGATGATGATGGTGGCAGTGGCGATGGTGGTGGTGGTGATGATGATGATGGTGGCGGTGATGATGATAATGATGATAGTGGCGGTGGCAATGATGGCGGTGGTGATGACGATGGTGGCGATGGTGGCGGTGATGGTGGCGGCGGTGGTGGTGATGATGATGGTGGCGGTGGCGATAGTGGCGGTGGTCATGATGATGGTGGCGGTGGTGATGATGATGGTGGCGGTGGTGATGATGATGGTGGCGGTGATGGTGGTGGTGGTGGTGATGATGATGGTGGCGGTGATGGTGGCGGTGATGATGATGATGATGGTGGCGGTGGCGATGGTGGCGGTGATGATGATGATGGTGGCGGTGGCGATGGTGGCGGTGATGATGATGATGGTGGCGGTGATGGTGGTGGTGGTGGTGGTGATGATGATGGTGGCGGTGATGGTGGCGGTGATGGTGGTGGTGGTGATGATGATGGTGGCGGTGATGGTGGCGGTGATGATGATGATGGTGGCGGTGGCGGTGGTGATGATAATGGTGGTGGTGATGGTAGTGGTGATGGTGGTGGTGGTGATGATGATGGTGGCGGTGATGATGATGATGGTGGCGGTGGCAGGGCGAGTTGGTACTCCGCACTTCATGGCGCCGGAGGTGGTGAAGCGGGAGCCGTATGGCAAGCCGGTGGACGTGTGGGGCTGCGGGGTGATGCTCTTCATCCTGCTCAGCGGCTGCCTCCCCTTCTACGGCACCAAGGAACGCCTCTTCGAGGCCATCATCAGGGGCAAGTACAAGGTATGGTGGCATTGTCATCGGCAGCAGTGTCATCAGCAGTGTCATCGTCATCAGCAGTGTCATCAGCAGTGTCAGTGTCATCAGCAGTGTCATCGTCATCAGCAGTGTCATCAGCAGTGTCAGTGTCATCAGCAGTGTCATCGTCATCAGCAGTGTCATCAGCAGTGTCAGTGTCATCAGCAGTGCCATCGTCATCGGCAGTGTCATCGTCATCAGCAGTGTCATCAGCAGTGTCAGTGTCATCGGCAGTGTCAGTGTCATCAGCAGTGTCATCAGCAGTGTCAGTGTGATCGGCAGTGTCAGTGTCATCAGCAGTGTCATCAGCAGTGTCAGTGTCATCGGCAGTGTCAGTGTCATCAGCAGTGTCATCAGCAGTGTCATCGTCATCAGCAGTGTCAGTGTCATCAGCAGTGTCATCAGCAGTGTCATCGTCATCGGCAGTGTCATCGGCAGTGTCATCGTCATCGGCAGTGTCATCGTCATTGGCAGTGTCATCGTCATCGGCAGTATCAGTGTCATCAGCAGTGTCAGTGTCATCAGCAGTGTCAGTGTTATCAGCAGTGTCATCGTCATCAGCAGTGTCATCGTCATCAGCAGTGTCAGTGTCAACAGCAGTGTTAGTGTCATCAGCAGCGTCATCGTCATCGGCAGTGTCATCAGCAGTGTCATCAGCAGTGTCATCGTCATCGGCAGTGTCATCAGCAGTGTCATCAGTAGTGTCAGTGTCATCAGCAGTGTCATCGGCAGTGTCATCAGCAGTGTCAGTGTCATCAGCAGTGGCATCGTCATCAGCAGTGTCATCAGCAGTGTCAGTGTCATCAGCAGTGTCATCAGCAGTGTCATCGTCATCAGCAGTGTCATCAGCAGTGTCAGTGTCATCAGCAGTGTCATCGGCATCGGCAGTGTCAGTGTCATCAGCCGTGTCAGTGTCATCAGCAGTGTCATCATCTTCAGCAGTGTCAGTGTCAACAGCATTGTCATCGTCATCAGCAGTGTCATCAGCAGTGTCATCAGCAGTGTCATCAGCAGTGTCAGTGTCATCAGCAGTGTCATCAGAAGTGTCATCAGCAGTGTCATCGTCATCAGCAGTGGCATCGTCATAAGCAGTGTCAGTGTCATCAGCAGTGTCAGTGTCATCGGCAGTGTCATCGGCAGTGTCATCGTCATCAGCAGTGTCATCAGCAGTGTCAGTGTCATCAGCAGTGTCATCAGCAGTGTCAGTGTCATCAGCAGTGTCAGTGTCATCAGCAGTGTCATCAGCAGTGTCATCATCAGCAGCAGTGTCATCAGCAGTGTCAGTGTCAACAGCATTGTCATCGTCATCAGCAGTGTCATCAGCAGTGGCAGTGTCATCAGCAGTGTCATCGTCATCAGCAGTGTCATCGTCATCAGCAGTGTCATCAGCAGTCTCATCAGCAGTGTCAGTGTCATCAGCAGTGTCATCGTCATCAGCAGTGTCATCGTCATCGATAGTGTCATCAGCAGTGTCAGTGTCATCAGCAGTGTCAGTGTCATCAGCAGTGTCATCGGCAGTGTCATCAGCAGTGTCAGTGTCATCGGCAGTGGCATCGGCAGTGTAATCAGCAGTGTCAGTGTCATCAGCAGTGTCAGTGTCATCAGCAGTGTCAGTGTCATCAGCAGTGGCATCGTCATCAGCATTGTCATCAGCAGTGGCATCGTCATCAGCAGTGTCATCAGCAGTTTCATCAGCAGGGTCAGTGTCATCAGCAGTGTCATCGTCATCGGCAGTGTCATTAGCAGTGGCATCGTCATCGGCAGTGTCATCATCATCAGCAGTGTCATCAGCACTGTCATCGTCATCAGCAGTGTCATCAGCAGTGTCAGTGTCATCAGCAGTGTCAGTGTCATCGGCAGTGTCATCGTCATCGGCAGTGTCATCGTCATCAGCAGTGTCATCAGCACTGTCAGTGTCAACAGCAGTGGCATCGTCATCAGCAGTGTCATCAGCAGTGTCAGTGTCATCGGCAGTGGCATCGTCATCAGCAGTGTCATCAGCAGTGTCATCGTCATCAGCAGTGTCATCAGCAGTGTCAGTGTCATCAGCAGTGTCATCGTCATCAGCAGTGTCATTGTCATCAGGGGCAAGTACAAGGTATGGTAGCATCGTCATCGGCAGCAGTGTCATCATCAGCAGTGTTAGCAGCATCATCAGCTGCATCATCGGTGTCAGCATCATCAGCAGCAGTGTCAGCATTATCAGCAGCATCATCATCATTAGCATCATCATCATTAGCATCATCATTAGCATCATCATCATTAGCATCATCATCATTAGCATCATCATCATTAGCATCATCATCATTAGCAGCATCATCATTAGCATCGTCATCATTAGCATCGTCATCATCAGCATTAGCATTATCATCATTTGCATCAGCATCATCATTAGTGTCATCATTAGCGTCATCATCATTAGCGTCATCATCATTAGCGTCATCATCATTAGCGTCATCATCATTAGCGTCATTATCATTAGCGTCATCATCATCAGCGTCATCATCATTAGCGTCATCATCATCAGCGTCATCATCATCTGCGTCATCATCATTAGCGTCATCATCATCTGTGAAGCGAGTCCAACTGAGTCGCAAACGTTGTCTTGGGAGCAACACTCGCACACACGCACACACACACACGCACACTCGCACACACACACGCACACACACGCACACTCGCACACACGCACACGCACACGCGCACACGCACACACGCACACACAAGCACACACGCGCACACACACGCACACACGCACACACACAAGCACACACACGCACGCGCACACACACGCACACACGCACATACGCACACACACGCACATACGCGCACGCACACACACACACACACGCACACGGGGAGCAGTGGTGTAGTGGTTAGCGCTACGCTGCGCTACGAACCCGGCGACCCGAGTTCAGTTCCCGTTCACGGCCAACACCACCGGTGACGATTATCTGAACCGCTGCTGGGCCTCCCCTAGGTCGACTCGGCCTCAACTGAGTACCCGGTGCGGTGTGTAGCGAACATCGCCACTAGGAGGGAAGACAAAGGCGGCCGTGCGTGGTGCTGGCCCCCACCCCCTCTTGTGCCATGGCGCCGGCAGCCTTCGTAGGCGCCGCTCCCACCTTGCAGGCTCGCGGCACTTGCCCTGATACGCTGTCGAAGGCTACCCGGGGCCACCTTTGTCTTTGTGCGCAGATGAACCCGCGTCAGTGGGACAACATCTCCGAGAGCGCCAAGGATCTCATCCGGAGGATGCTGATGCTGGACCCGGCGGAGCGGATCACCGTGTACGAGTCACTGAACCACCCCTGGCTGAAGGTACGTGTACTACCACACCCGGCACGCCTCAACTACCACACCCGGTAAGCCTCAACTACCACACCCGGCACGCCTCAACTACCACACCCGGTAAGCCTCAACTACCACACCCGGCACGCCTCAACTACCACACCCGGCACGCCTCAACTACCACACCCGGTAAGCCTCAACTACCACACCCGGTAAGCCTCAACTACCACACCCGGTAAGCCTCAACTACCACACCCGGTAAGCCTCAACTACCACACCCGGCAAGCCTCAACTACCACACCCAGCAAGCCTCAACTACCACACCCGGCACGCCTCAACTACCACACCCGGTAAGCCTCAACTACCACACCCGGAAAGCCTCAACTACCACACCCGGCACACCTCAACTACCACACCCGGTAAGCCTCAACTACCACACCCGGTAAGCCTCAATTACCACACCCGGAAAGCCTCAACTACCACACCCGGTAAGCCTCAACTACCACACCCGGTAAGCCTCAACTACCACACCCGGTAAGCCTCAACTACCACACCCGGTAAGCCTCAACTACCACACCCGGCACGCCTCAACTACCACACCCGGTAAGCCTCAACTGCCACACCCGGTAAGCCTCAACTACCACACCCGGTAAGCCTCAACTACCACACCCGGTAAGCCTCAACTACCACACCCGGTAAGCCTCAACTACCACACCCGGTAAGCCTCAACTACCACACCCGGCACGCCTCAACTACCACACCCGGCACGCCTCAACTACCACACCCGGTAAGCCTCAACTACCACACCCGGTAAGCCTCAACTACCACACCCGGTAAGCCTCAACTACCACACCCGGTAAGCCTCAACTACCACACCCGGTAAGCCTCAACTATCACACCCGGTAAGCCTCAACTACCACACCCGGCACGCCTCAACTACCACACCCGGCACGCCTCAACTACCACACCCGGTAAGCCTCAACTACCACACCCGGAAAGCCTCAACTACCACACCCGGCAAGCCTCAACTACCACACCCGGCAAGCCTCAACTACCACACCCGGCACGCCTCAACTACCACACCCGGCACGCCTCAACTACCACACCCGGCAAGCCTCAACTACCACACCCGGTAAGCCTCAACTACCACACCCGGCAAGCCTCAACTACCACACCCGGCAAGCCTCAACTACCACACCCGGCACACCTCAACTACCACACCCGGTAAGCCTCAACTACCACACCCGGCACGCCTCAACTACCACACCCGGTAAGCCTCAACTACCACACCCGGCACGCCTCAACTACCACACCCGGTAAGCCTCAACTACCACACCCGGTAAGCCTCAACTACCACACCCGGCAAGCCTCAACTACCACACCCGGCAAGCCTCAACTACCACACCCGGTAAGCCTCAACTACCACACCCGGCAAGCCTCAACTACCACACCCGGCAAGCCTCAACTACCACACCCGGCACACCTCAACTACCACACCCGGTAAGCCTCAACTACCACACCCGGCACGCCTCAACTACCACACCCGGTAAGCCTCAACTACCACACCCGGCACGCCTCAACTACCACACCCGGTAAGCCTCAACTACCACACCCGGTAAGCCTCAACTACCACACCCGGCAAGCCTCAACTACCACACCCGGCAAGCCTCAACTACCACACCCGGCACGCCTCAACTACCACACCCGGCAAGCCTCAACTACCACACCCGGCACGCCCCAACTACCACCGCCAACAGAGATCCCCCGTATCGCCTGAGCAGGCGGGGTGGTGGTGCCCAGCACCACGCACGGCCGTCTTTGTCTCCCCCCCAGTGCTGGCGATGTTCGCTACACGCCGCACCGGGTACTCAGTTGAGGCCGAGTCGACCTAGGGGAGGCCCAGGAGCGGTTCAGATAATCGTCACCGGTGGTGTTGGCCGTGAACGGGAACTGAACTCGGGTCTCCGGATTCATAGCGCAGCGTAGCGCTAACCACTACACTACCGCTGCACTACCCAACCACCACCACCACTACACTACACAACCACCACCACTACCCAACCACCACCACCACTACACTACACAACCACCACCACCACCACACTACCCAACCACCACCACCACTACACTACCCAACCACCACCACCACTACACTACCCAACCACCACTACCACCACCACACTACCCAACCACCACCACCACTACACTACCCAACCACCACCACTACCCAACCACCACCACCACTACACTACCCAACCACCACCACTACCCAACCACCACCACTACCCAAACACCACCACCACCACTACCCAACCACCACCACTACACTACCCAACTCAACCACCACCACCACTACACTACCCAACCACCACCACCACTACCCAACTACCCAACCACCACCACCACCACTACCCAACCACCACCACTACACTACCACCACCACCACTACCCAACCACCACTACACTACCCAACTACCACCACCACTACCCAACCACCACCACCACTACCCAACCACCACCACCACTACCCAACCACCACCACCACTACCCAACCCAACTCAACCACCACCACTACCAAACCACCACCACTACCCAACCACCACCACCGCTATACTACCCAACCACCACCACTACACTACCCAACTCAACCACCACCACTACCCAACCACCACCACTACACTATCCAACCACCACCACCACTACCCAACTCAACCACCACCACTACCCAACCCAACTCAACCACCACCACCACTACACTACCCAACTCAACCACCACCACTACCCAACCCAACCCAACCACCACCACCACTACACTACCCAACTCAACCACCACCACTACCCAACCACCACCACTACACTATCCAACCACCACCACTACACTACCCAACCACCACCACCACTACACTACCCAACCACCACCACCACCACTACCCAACCCAACTCAACCACCACCACCACTACACTACCCAACTCAACCACCACCACTACCACTACACTACCCAACCACCACTACACTACCCAACCACCACCACCACTACACTACCCAACCACCACCACCACCACTACCCAACCCAACTCAACCACCACCACTACCACTACACTACCCAACTCAACCACCACCACTACCACTACACTACCCAACCACCACTACACTACCCAACCACCACCACTACCACTACACTACCCAACCACCACTACCCAACTCAACCACCACCACACTCAGCAGCAGCTATCTGCGAGCTCCCTACCACTACGCTTGTCGCGCGAGTTGCGTGAGTTGCTGTAGTTGCTGTAGTTGCGTGAGTTGCGCGAGTTGCTGTAGTTGCGTGAGTTGCTGTAGTTGCGTGAGTTGCTGTAGTTGCGCGAGTTGCTGTAGTTGCGTGAGTTGCTGTAGTTGCGCGAGTTGCTGTAGTTGCGTGAGTTGCTGTAGTTGCGTGAGTTGCGTGAGTTGCGTGAGTTGCTGTGGTTGCGTGAGTTGCTGTAGTTGCGTGAGTTGCTGTAGTTGCGTGAGTTACGTGAGTTGCTGTAGTTGCGTGAGTTGCTGTAGTTGCGTGAGTTGCGTGAGTTGCTGTAGTTGCGTGAGTTGCTGTAGTTGCGTGAGTTGCTGTAGTTGCGTGAGTTGCGTTAGTTGCGGTGTTGTTTGCCCCAGGAGAGGGACCGCTATGCCTGCAAGGTTCACCTCCCAGAGACGGTGGAGCAGCTGAGGAAGTTCAACGCCCGCAGGAAGCTCAAGGCCGGTGTCACGTGGCTCACTCACTCACGGGGGGGAGGGGCCGGCGTCACGTGGCTCACTCACTCACTGGGGGGGGGGGGGGGGCCGATGTCACGTGGCTCACTCACGGGGGAGGGGCCGGTGTCACGTCGCTCACTCACTGGGGGCAGGGGGGCGGGGGCCGGTGTCACGTGGCTCACTCACTCACGGGGGGGGGGGGGGGGCCGATGTCACGTGGCTCACTCACGGGGGAGGGGCCGGTGTCACGTCGCTCACTCACTGGGGGGGGGAGGAGCCGGTGTCACGTGGCTCACTCACTCACTGGGGGGGAGCGGGGGGAGGGGCCGGTGTCACGTCACTCACGGGGGGGGGGGGAGGGGCCGGTGTCACGTGGCTCACTCACTGGGGGGGAGCGGGGGGAGGGGCCGATGTCACGTGGCTCACTCACTGGGGGGGGAGGGGGAGGGGCCGGTGTCACGTCACTCACTGGGGGGGGGGGAGGGGCCGGTGTCACGTGGCTCACTCACTGGGGGGCAGGGGGAGGGGCTGTGGGGAAGTTGATAAAAACAACGATGACAATGACGATGACAATGATGACGATGACAATGACCACGACAATGATGACGACGATGACAATGATGACAATGACAATGACCACGACAATGATGGCGACGATGACAATGATGACGATGACCACGACAATGATGGCGACGATGACTATGATGACAATGACCACGACAATGATGACAATGACGATGACAATGATGACAATGACCACGACAATGATGACGACGATGACAATGATGACAATGACCACGACAATGATGACGACGATGACAATGATGACAATGCGTACGAGCGGTGCTGACGAGGGTGCGGTGGTGGTGTGTGTGGTGGTGGTGTGTGTGGTGGTGGGGTGTGGTTGTGATGGTGGTGGTGGTGTGTGTGGTGGTGGTGGTGGTGGTGGTGGTGTGTGGTGGTGGTGTGTGTGGTGTGTGGTTGTGGTGGTGGTGTGTGTGGTGGTGGTGGTGTGTGTGGTGTGTGTGGTTGTGGTGGTGGTGTGTGTGGTGGTGTGTGGTGGTGGTGGTGGTGGTGTTGCAGGGCGCCGTACTGGCGGCAGTCGCCAGCCACAAGTTCACCAGCTTCTACAGCGACCCTCCAGAGGGGTTGCCGGACTTCACCGACACCTCCACAGGTACGGGGGGCGGGGTAGGGGGTGTGGGGGCGGGGTGGGGGGTGTGTGGGGGGGCGGGGTGGGGGGTGTGTGGGGGGGCGGGGTGGGGGGGTGAGTGGGGGGGCGGGGTGGGGGGTGTGTGGGGGGGGGGGTGAGGGGGGGGGGCGGGGTGGGGGGTGAGGGGGGGGCGGGGTGGGGGGTGAGTTTGAAGGTTCGATTCGAACTCTGAACGGTGTCACCGCTACAACCACCACCGTTACCACCTCCACCGCTACCACCACCACCGCTACCACCACCGCTACCACCACCACCACCGCTACCACCACTACCGGCCCTCTCCCGTACTCTGTGTACTCTCGTTACTCTGCGTACTCTGCGTGCTCATTACTCTGCGTACTCTGCACACTCTAACTCTGCGTACTCTGCGTACTCTGCACACTCTAACTCTGCGTACTCTGCGTACTCTGCACACTCTAACTCTGCGTACTCTGCGTACTCTGCACACTCTAAATCTGCGTACTCTGCGTACTCTGCACACTCTAACTCTGCGTACTCTGCGTACTCTGCACACTCTAACTCTGCGTACTCTGTGTACTCTAACTCTGCGTACTCTGCGTACTCTAACTCTGTGTACTCTGTGTACTCTAACTCTGCGTACTCTGCGTACTCTAACTCTGCGTACTCTGCACACTCTAACTCTGCGTACTCTGTGTACTCTAACTCTGCGTACTCTGCGTACTCTAACTCTGTGTACTCTGTGTACTCTAACTCTGCGTACTCTGTGTACTCTAACTCTGCGTACTCTGCGATACTCTAACTCTGCGTACTCTGTGTACTCTAACTCTGCGTACTCTGCGTACTCTGCGTACTCTGTGTACTCTAACTCTGCGTACTCTGCGTACTCTGCACACTCTAACTCTGCGTACTCTGCGATACTCTAACTCTGCGTACTCTGTGTACTCTAACTCTGCGTACTCTGTGTACTCTAACTCTGCGTACTCTGCGTACTCTAACTCTGCGTACTCTGCGTACTCTAACTCTGTGTACTCTGCGTACTCACCTGGTGAGCGGTGGGGAACTGGCGACGGTGCTTCCGGTCGCCCTCCTGTTGACCTCATGCGTGCGTGCACGTGTCTCTGTGTGTGTCTGTGTGTGTCTGTGTGTGTGTGTGTGTCTCGTGTGTGTCTGTGTGTGTCTGTGTGTGTGTGTCTGTGTGTCTGCGTGCGTGTGTCTGCGTGCGTGTGTCTGCGTGCGTGTGTCTGCGTGCGTGTGTCTGCATGCGTGTGTCTGAGCGCGTGTGTCTGCTTGTGTGTGTCTGAGCGCGTGTGTTTGCTTGCGTGTCTCTGCGTGTTTCTGCATGTCTGCATGTGTCTGCGTGCGTGTGTCTGCATGTGTCTGCGTGCGTGTCTCTGCGTGCGTGTGTCTGCGTGCGTGTCTGTGCATGTGTCTGCGTGCGTGTCTCTGCGTGCGTGTGTTTTGCGTGTCTCTGCGTGCGTGTGTCTGCGTGTGTCTGCGTGCGTGTCTCTGCGTGCGTGTGTTTTGCGTGTCTCTGCGTGCGTGTGTCTGCGTGCGTGTGTCTGCGTGCGTGTCTCTGCGTGTGTCTTGTGTGCGTGTCTCTGCGTGTGTTTGTGTGCGTGTCTCTGCATGTGTCTGCGTGCTTGTCTCTGCGTGCATGTGTCTGCGTGCGTGTGTCTGTGTTCATGTCTCTGCGTGTGTCTTGTGTGCGTGTCTCTGAGTGTGTCTGCGTGCGTGTCTGTGCGTGCGTGTCTCTGCGTGTCTGTGCGTGTGTCTGTGCGTGTGTCTGCATGTGTCTGCGTGCGTGTATCTCCGTGCGTGTCTGTGCATGTGTGCGTGTCTGTGTGCGTGTCTCTCCGTGTGTCTACGTGCGTATCTGTGCGTGTGTCTGCGTGCGTGTGTCTGTGTGCGTGTATCTGCGTGCGTGTATCTGTGTGTGTCTGCGTGCATGTCTGTGCGTGTCTGCGTGCGTGTCTGCGTGCGTGTGTCTGCGTGCGTGTGTCTGTGTGCGTGTCTCTGCGTGTGTCTGTGTGCGTGTCTCTGCGTGTGTCTGCGTGCGTGTCTCTGCGTGTCTGTGCGTGCGTGTTGCCCTAACGCTGCCACTGTGCAGGACTGCTCGCTGCAGAACGTACGTAACCACTCCCCTCCTCCCCCGCTCACACCGCGTGCATTACCGTGCGGTCGGCCTTGTCCACACCACCAGCTCCAACAGAACTGAACGCACATGGCCACGCTGTCATTCAGGACTACTCGACTCACTCGCCCACTCACTCAAATCCCAACTCAGTCGCCCGCCCACTCACTCACTCGCTCACTCAGTCACTTGCCCACTCAATCGCCCGCCCACTCACTCACTCAAATGCCCACTCAGTCGCCCGCCCACTCACTCACTCGCCCACTCACTCACTCACTCGCTGATCGACTCATCAGTCACACACTTAATCGCTCACTCACCCACTCACTCAAATGCCCACTCAGTCGCCCGCCCACTCACTCACTCACTCGCTGATCGACTCATCAGTCACCCACTCAATCGCTCACTCACCCACTCACTCACTCGCCCACTCACTCACTCGCTGATAGACTCATCAGTCACACACTTAATCGCTCACCCACTCACTCAAATGCCCACTCAGTCGCCTGCCCACTCACTCGCTGATCGACTCATCAGTCACACACTCAATCGCTCACTCACTCACTCATTCACGTCGCTCACCCAGACTCCCTGATGCCTTGCAAACCAGATGTCTGTTTGGCGTTTGAACTTTGTAACACCCCCTGTACCATTGCCAGAAAGGGTTGAAGGCCTTTATTTAATAATAATAATGATGATGTTGTTGTTGTTGATGTCATCATGAGTTGGTGGTCTTGACGCAGTTGGCTGGTGCAGTAGGGTTCGAAGCAAGGCTGAAAGCTTTGTACGTGCGGTCTGGTGGTAACGTGATGCCGATGGTGTTGATGCTGGTGATGTTGATGATGGTTGTGATTATGTTAATGGTGATTTTGATGATGGTGGGGATGGTTTTTGTAATGGTGATGATGCTGTTGTTGATGATGGCGTTGATGTTCATGATGACGATGGTGATGGTGGTGGAGTTGACGGTGGTGATGGCGGTGACGGTGGTGATGTAGGAGCGGTGAGCCAGGTGCTGGACAGTCTGGAGGAGATCCACGCCCTGACCGACTGCAGTGAGAAGGACCTCGAGTTCCTGCACAGCGTCTTCCAAGACGCTCACCTCCACAGCCTCCTGGACGTGAGTCACTCACTCGCTCACTCACTCACTCAGACCCTCACAATCACTCACTCACACCCACAATCACTCACTCACTCACACAATCACTCACTCACTCACACCCTCACAATCACTTGCTCACACCCACACAATCACTCACTTACTCACACAATCACTCATTCACCACACACTCACTCACTCACCACCCACACAATCACTCACTCACGCCCTCACAATCACTCACTCACACCCACAATCACTCACTCACTCACACAATCACTCATTCACCACACACAATCACTCACTCACACCCTCACAATCACTCGCTCACACCCACACAATCACTCACACTCACACAATCACTCACTCACACCCTCACAATCACTCACTCACCACCCTCACAATCACTCGCTCACACCCACACAATCACTCATTCACCACACACTCACTCACTCACCACCCACACAATCACTCACTCACACTCACACAATCACTCACTCACACTCACACAATCACTCACTCACACAATCACTCACTCACACCCACACAATCACTCACTCACCACACACTCACTCACCACCCACAACATCACTCACTCACTCACACAATCACTCACTCACACCCTCACAATCACTCGCTCACACCCACACAATCACTCACTTACTCACACAATCACTCATTCACCACACACTCACTCACCACCCACACAATCACTCACTCACACACAATCACTCACTAACACCCACACAATCACTCACTCACTCACACCCACACAATCACTCGCTCGCACTCACACAATCACTCACTCACCACTCACTCACTCACTCACCACTCACTCACTCACCACTCACTCACCACACACTCACTCGCTCACACCCACACAATCACTCACTCACTCACACACAATCACTCGCTCACACCCACACAATCACTCACTTACTCACACAATCACTCACTCACACTCACACAATCACTCACTCACCACTCACTCACTCACCACTCACTCACTCACCACACACTCACTCGCTCACACCCACACAATCACTCACTCACTCACACAATCACTCGCTCACACCCACACAATCACTCACTCACTCACACAAGCACTCACTCACACAATCACTCACCACCCACACAATCACTCAATCACTCACACAATCACTCACTCACACAATCACTCACTCACACACACACAATCACACACTCACACACACTCACACACTCACCACCCACACAGTCACTCATACACTCACACACACACACACTCACCACCCACACAGTCACTCATACACTCACACACACTCACACACACCCACACAATCACTCACTCACACACACACAATCACTCACTCACACACACTCACATACACACACTCACCACCCACACAGTCACTCATACACTCACACACACTCACACACACACACTCACCACCCACACAGTCACTCATACACTCACACAAACTCACACACACACACTCACCACCCACACAGTCACTCATACACTCACACACACTCACACACACCCACACAATCACTCACTCACACACACACAATCACTCATACACTCACACACACTCACACATACACACACAATCACACACACACACTCACCACCCACACACTCGCTCACTCACACACACACACTCACACACGCTCACACACACACAATCACTCATACACTCACACACACTCACACACACATACACACACAATCACAAACACACACTCACCACCCACACACTCGCTCACTCACACACACTCACACACACACACTCACACACACACAATCACTCACTCACACACAATCAGCAGTCACACGCACGGCAGTGTTCACCAGGGCAGCCTGCTGGAACCAAACCGCGATCCTCCTCTGTGTGCGTGCCCCCACTCCCCCTCCGTGCCCCCCCCCCCCCCCCGAGCAGCTGTATGACAAGATCAACTCCAAGTCGTCCCCGCAGATCCGCAATCCCCCTAGCGATGGGGTGCAGAGGGCCAAGGAGGTAAGCCCTCAAGTGGGTGAGTGGGTGGCTGGGTAACTAGGTGGGTGACTAGGTGGGTGGGTGAATGGGTGAGTGAATGGGTGAGTGGGTGGGTGGGTGAGTAGGTGGGTGACTAGGTGGGTGGGTGAATGTGTGAGTAGGTGGGTGAGTGAGTAGGTGGGTGACTAGGTGGATGGGTGAATGGGTGACTGGGTGGGTGGGTGACAAGGTGGGTGACTAGGTGGGTGGGTGAATGGGTGAGTGGGTGGGTGGGTGAATGGGTGAGTGGGTGAGTGGGTGAATGGGTGAATGGGTGAGTGGGTGGGTGAGTAGGTGGGTGGATGAATGGGTGAGTGGGTGAATGGGTGAGTAGGTGGGTGGGTGAATGGGTGAGTGGGTGAATGGGTGAGTGGGTGAGTGGGTGGGTGTGTAGGTGGGTGGGTGAGTGGTTGAATGGGTGAGTGGGTGAGTAGGTGGGTGGGTGAATGGGTGAGTAGGTGAGTGGGTGAATGGGTGAATAGGTGAGTGGGTGAGTGGGTGGGTGAGTAGGTGGGTGGATGAATGGGTGAGTGGGTGAGTGGGTGAATGGGTGAGTAGGTGGGTGGGTGAATGGGTGAGTGGGTGAATGGGTGAGTGGGTGAATGGGTGAGTAGGTGGGTGGGTGAGTAGGTGGGTGGGTGAATGGGTGAATGGGTGAGTAGGTGGGTGGGTGAGTAGGTGGGTGGGTGAGTGGGTGAGTAGGTGGGTGGGTGAATGGGTGAGTAGGTGGGCAGGTGAATGGGTGAATAGGTGAGTAGGTGGGTGGGTGAGTGAGTAGGTGGGTGGGTGAGTGGGTGAGTAGGTGGGTGGGTGAATGGGTGAGTAGGTGGGCAGGTGAATGGGTGAGTAGGTGGGTAGGTGAATGGGTGGATGGGTGAATGGGTGAGTAGGTGGGTGGGTGAATGGGTGAGTAGGTGAGTGGGTGAGTGGGTGAATGGGTGAATGGGTGGGTGGGTGAGTGAGTAGGTGGATGCGTGAATGGGTGAATGGGTGAGTAGGTTGGTGGGTGAGTGAGTTGGTGGGTGGGTGAGTGGATTAATGGGTGAGTTGGTGAATGGGTGAGTAGGTGGGTGAGTGGGTGAGTAGGTGGGTGGGTGAATGGGTGAGTAGGTGAGTGGGTGAATGGGTGAATGGGTGAGTAGGTGGGTGAGAGAGTAGGTGGGTGGGTGAGTAGGTGGGTGGGTGAATGGGTGAGTCAGTGGGTGGGTGAGTGGGTGGTGGGAAAATGGGTGAGTGGGTGGTTGGGTGAGTAGTTGGTGGGCAGGTGTTGTGGCGTTGTGACGTGGCTGTCACGTTGTGCAGGTGGTGGAGACTGGCGGTGTGACGATGCCGTGACGTTGCCGTGACGTTGCCGTGACGTTGCCGTGACGTCGCCGTGACGTCGCCGTGACGTAGCCGTGACGTCGCCGTGACGTCACCGTGACGTTGCCGTGACGTCACCGTGACGTTACCGTAACGTAGCCGTGACGTCGCCGTGACGTCACCGTGACGTCGCCGTGACGTCGCCGTGACGTCGCCGTAACGTTGCCGTGACGATGCCGTGACGTCACCGTGACGATGCCGTGACGTTGCCGTGACGATGCCGTGACGTCACCGTGACGACGCCGTGACGTCACCGTGACGATGCCGTGACGTCACCGTGACGATGCCGTGACGTCGCCGTGACGATGCCGTGACGTCGCCGTGACATCGCCGTGACGATGCCGTGACGTCGCCGTGACGTCGCCGTGACGATGCCGTGACGTTGCCGTGACGATGCCGTGACGTCACCGTGACGATGCCGTGACGTTGCCGTGACGATGCCGTGACGTCGCCGTGACGATGCCGTGACGTCGCCGTGACGATGCCGTGACGTCGCCGTGACGATGCCGTGACGTTGCAGGTGCTGGAGACGGTGGCGACCTACCCTCACCAGGACGCCAAGGAACTCCGCGCGCTGCTCACCCAGCCACACTTCATGGTACGGGGGCGGGGGGGTTGCAGCCCGGAGTCATCATCAGCGTCGTCATGGTGCGTGTGTGTACACGTGTGTGTGTACGTGTGTGCGTGTGTGTGTACGTGTGTGTGTACGTGTGTGTGTGTGCGTGTGTGTGTACGTGTGTGTGTGTATGTGTGTGTGTGACTGGCTCCAGTTTAACAGCAGAGGTCTCACTCCGAATCAGTCGAGTGGCAATATCTTTTCATCGGTTGCGTAACGCTGTGTGGAAGCTACCTGGTCTGTCGCTCCGCACTAAGCTTCAGGTCTTCTCGGCCACGGTCATTCTATCCCTTCTCTACGCTTGCGAAACGTGGACCCCCCTAATGGAACATCTTCGCCGGTTAGAAACATTTAGGCTGGCCTGCCTACGATCCATCCTGGGTTTAACCAGACTGGATTGTGTGAGGAGCTCACAAATCCTTGAAAGATCTGGGCAAGGTCCCATCGGTGAGCTCCTCCGGCGGGCAAGGCTGCAATGGCTGGGTCATGTAGCCCGCATGCCCAGCCACCGCATGCCGAAACAGCTTTTGTTCGGCCGGATTGAGGGGGCAAAGCGGGCGCGGCACGGGCTAGAGAAGAGATGGAGTGATGTGGTACAGGAGGACGTGGAGCTGAGTGGACTTGCCGATGACTGGTACCAGCGGTGTCAAGATCGGCCTCTGTGGAGGAGGCTCGTGAAGGATGCTACTGGGCAGTTGGAGGCAGTCGCCCTCCAACAACAACGGAGGGCGGAGGAGCGACGCTCACAACAACGAGCGGAGCGCCGGGTGGCTAAAGCACAGCAGGTTGGCACAGAAGGGGGCACAGGTGGTGCATCAGCCAGTCATCTCAGTCAGTCGACCCGTGGCACCTGGGTCTGCCCCGTGACCTCCTGCCAGCGGGCGTTCGACACTTCACGTGGCCTCAGGGTGCACATAGCCTGGCACAAGCGTCGTGGTGACGTCACCGCCACTTAGTGGCAAATGGCGGTTGTTGTTGTGTGTGTGTACATACGTACGTGCGTCTGTGTACGTGTGTGTACGTACGTACGTGCGTGCGTGTGTGTGCGTGTGTATGTGTGTGTACACGTACGTGCGTGCGTGTATGTACGTACGTACGTGCGTGTGTGTGTGTACGTGTGTGTGTGTGCGTGTGTGTACGTACGTGCGTCTGTGTACGTGTGCGTGTGTGTGTGTGTTCGTACGTACGTGCGTGTGTGTGTACGTGTGTGCGTGTGTGTGTGTACATGTGTGTGTGTGTGTACATACGTGTGTATTTGTGCGTGTGTACATGTGTTTGTGTGCGCGTGTGTGTGTGTACGTGTGTGTGTACGTTGTGTACGTGTGTGTGTACGTACGTGTGTGTGTGTGTACGTGTGTGTGTGTGCATGTGTGTGTGTACGTACGTGTGTGTGTGTACATACGTGTGTGTGTACATACGTGTGTGTGTACGTACGTGTGTGTGCGTGTGTACGTGTGTGTGCATGTGTGTGTACGTACGTACGTGTGTGTGTGTACATACGTGTGTGTGTGTGTGCATGTGTGTGTGTACGTACGTGTGTGTGCGTGTGTACGTGTGTGTGCATGTGTGTGTACGTACCTGTGTGTGTGTGCGTGCTCCCCGTAGGCTCTGCTGCAAGCGCACGACGTGGTGGCCCACGAGGTGTACAGCGACGAGGCTCTCCGCGTCACCCCGCCGCCCACCTCCCCCTTCCTCAACGCCGCTGACTCCCCTGGCAGCCCCGACGCGGAGCTCGACATGGAGAACGTGACACGTGTACGGCTCGTACAGTTCCAGAAGAATACAGACGAGCCCATGGTGAGACAGAGACAGAGACGGGGAGACAGAGAGACAGAGAGAGACATAGAGACAGAGAGACAGAGAGACAGGGAGACAGAGAGACAGGGAGACAGAGAGACAGAGCTCGACATGGAGAACGTGACACGTGTACGGCTCGTACAGTTCCAGAAGAATACAGACGAGCCCATGGTGAGACAGAGAGACAGAGAAGGGGAGACAGAGAGACAGGGAGACAGGGAGACAGAGAGACAGAGAGACAGAGCTCGACATGGAGAACGTGACACGTGTACGGCTCGTACAGTTCCAGAAGAATACAGACGAGCCCATGGTGAGACAGAGACAGAGACGGGGAGACAGAGAGACAGAGAGACAGGGAGACAGGGAGACAGGGAGACGAGACAGAGAGACAGGGAGACAGAGAGACAGAGAGACAGGGAGACAGAGAGAGACAGGGAGACAGAGAGAGACAGGGAGACAGAGAGACAGAGAGACAGGGAGACAGAGAGACAGGGAGACAGAGAGACAGAGAGACAGAGCTGGACATGGAGAACGTGACACGTGTACGGCTCGTACAGTTCCAGAAGAATACAGACGAGCCCATGGTGAGACAGAGACAGAGACGGGGAGACAGAGAGACAGAGAGACAGGGAGACAGGGAGACAGGGAGACGAGACAGAGAGACAGGGAGACAGAGAGACAGAGAGACAGGGAGACAGAGAGACAGGGAGACAGGGAGACAGAGAGACAGAGACAGAGAGACAGGGAGATAGAGAGACAGGGAGACAGGGAGACAGAGAGACAGGGAGACAGAGAGACAGGGAGACAGAGAGACAGGGAGACAGGGAGACAGAGAGCCAGGGAGACAGAGAGACAGGGAGATAGAGAGACAGGGAGACAGGGAGACAGAGAGACAGGGAGACAGAGAGACAGAGAGACAGAGCTCGACATGGAGAACGTGACACTTGTACGGCTCGTACAGATCCAGAAGAATACAGACGAGCCCATGGTGAGACAGAGACAGAGACGGGGAGACAGAGAGACAGAGAGAGACAGGGAGACAGAGAGACAAAGCTGGACATGGAGAACGTGACACGTGTACGGCTCGTACAGTTCCAGAAGAATACAGACGAGCCCATGGTGAGATGGGGAGACAGAGAGACAGGGAGACAGAGAGACAGGGAGACAGAGAGACAGATAGACAGAGAGACAGAGGTGAGGAGACAGAGAGACAGAGGCGGGTAGACAGAGAGACAGAGAGACAGAGGCGGAGAGACAGAGAGACAGAGATAGAGGCAGAGAGACAGAGAGACAGAGGCGGGGAGACAGAGAGACAGAGAGACAGAGGCGGGGAGACAGAGACGGGGAGACAGAGAGACAGAGGCGGGGAGACAGAGAGACACAGGCGGGGAGACAGAGAGACAGAGAGACAGAGGCGGAGAGACAGAGAGACAGAGGCAGAGAGACAGAGAGACAGAGGCGGGGAGACAGAGAGACAGAGAGACAAAGACGGTGAGACAGAGAGACAGAGACAGAGGCAGGGAGACACAGAGACAGAAGCGGAGAGACAGAGACAGAGACAGAGCGACAGAGACAGAGAGACAGAGGCAGGGAGACAGAGAGACAGAGGCAGGGAGACAGAGAGACAGATAGACAGAGAGACAGAGGTGAGGAGACAGAGAGACAGAGGCGGGGAGACAGAGACAGAGGCAGAGAGACAGAGGTGGGGAGACAGAGAGACAGAGAGACAGAGACGGGGAGACAGAGAGACAGAGACAGAGAGACAGAGGCGGGGAGACAGAGAGACAGAGACAGATGCGGGGAGACAGAGAGACAGAGAGACAGAGGCGGGGAGACAGAGAGACAGAGACAGAGGCGGGGAGACAGAGAGACAGAGAGACAGAGGTGAGGAGACAGAGAGACAGAGACGGGGAGACAGAGAGACAGAGGCGGGGAGACAGAGAGACAGAGGCGGGGGGCAGTAGCTTGACAAGAGGTGGGGGCACACACACACACACACCAGGCGGAGCGAGGTTGTGTACAGTGGGAATAGCAGCCATCATCGTCGTGATAGCAGAGCTACAGGGAGCCGACCGACAGAGCAGTCAGACGGTAAATCGACCGCGTCGCAAGAGATGTGGAAAACGTCGCCACGTCTTCCTCCCTCCCTCCCTCAGGGCATCACGCTGAAGATGAATGAGCAGAACCGGTGCATTGTGGCCAGGATCATGCACGGAGGGATGATTCACAGACAAGGTGAGCCATGACCACCGTCGTCATCATCGTCACCATCATCTCCACCATCACCATTGTCACCAGCACCACCACCACGACCATCACCATCATCGTCATCATCGCCGCCATCGTCATCACCACCGTCACCACAACCATCATCATAATCGTCACTACCGCCACCACCATAACTACAACCACCACCATCGTCACCATCATCACTACCACCACCACCGTCACCATCATCGTCACCGTCACCATCGACACCGCTGCCACGACCATCACTACCACTCCCTGCGTGGTGAGTCTATGGGTCTCTGCGTGGTGAGTCGATGGGTCTCTGTGTAGTGAGTCGATGGGTCTCTGCGTGGTGAGTCGATGGGTCTCTGCGTGGTGAGTCTACGGCAAACGGGCCGTGCCGAGGCGGTGCCGGTGTGGTGGTGGCGGTGACGACGGAATGGAACGCCGGCGTTTCCTCTCCCTCTCTGTTGCTGCAGGCACGCTGCACATCGGCGATGAGATTCGTGAGATCAATGGGATCAGCGTCATGAACCAGTCGGTGGAGCAGCTGCAGAAGATGCTGGTGGGTGGTGTCGTGCATGCAGTGCAGCTCCCTCCTTCATCCACAACTCTCCCTCCTTCATCCACAGCTCTCCCTCCTTCATCCACAGCTCTCCCTCCTTCATCCACAGCTCTCCCTCCTTCAACCACAGCTCTCCCTCCTTCATCCACAGCTCTCCCTCCTTCAACCACAGCTCTCCCTCCTTCATCCACAGCTCTCCCTCCTCCATCTACAGCTCTCCCTCCTTCATCCACAGCTCTCCCTCCTTCATCGACAGCTCTCCCTCCTTCATCCACAGCTCTCCCTCCTTCATCCACAGCTCTCCCTCCTTCATCCACAGCTCTCCCTCCTTCATCCACAGCTCTCCCTTCTTCATCCACAGCTCTTCCTCCTTCATCCACAGCTCTCCCTCCTTCATCCACAGCTCTCCCTCCTTCATCCACAGCTCTCCCTCCTTCATCCACAGCTCTCCCTTCTTCATCCACAGCTCTCCCCCCTTCATCTACAGCTCTCCCTCCTTCATCCACAGCTCTCCCTCCTTCAACCACAGCTCTCCCTCCTTCATCTACAGCTCTCCCTCCTTCATCCACAGCTCTCCCTCCTTCATCCACAGCTCTCCCTTCTTCATCCACAGCTCTCCCTCCTTCATCCACAGCTCTCCCTCCTTCATCCACAGCTCTCCCTCCTTCATCCACAGCTCTCCCTCCTTCATCCACAGCTCTCCCTCCTTCATCCACAGCTCTCCCTTCTTCATCCACAGCTCTCCCTCCTTCACAGCTCTCCCTCATTCATCCACAGTTTATTTTAAAAAAAATTCAGTTTATTTATGTTGGTATAGCCCTGTGAGCCATTCGGCTCTTGAATCGGGTGCAACCGCAACAAACAAAAAACAAAAACACGAACAAGAAAACATCTTAAAGTGACTTTGTGTGACTGTGCAAACAGAAAATCCATGAAAAAAACAGCAAAATATTCCTGAAAAAAGCACCGTACACTAACGCTGTGTGCAAAAAACCCAGTGGGATGCAAGTCAAACAACAACAACAACCACAAGACAACTTAGATTAAGGCCATCAGTCTAACTCCATACTACAACAAAACAAACATGTCCAAACCAAAAAACTTTTCGAAATCACCAAAAAATAAACCCATAATTGCAACGTAACAGTGGTCATATGGACTGTGACCGAACTTTTTAACAATAAACTACATAAATAACATGTAACACCAAACCCTAGAGCCATAGCTGGCTGCATGAGTTACTCCACAACAACAGAAGCATCAGTCGGAGTATCAAATTTTTCAATGCATCTTTAAGATCAGCACGCTAAATCAAAATACAGATAATACTTTGCAGCGTCATCCGGAGCGAAAACATTTTATTTTATTTTACGCCAATGAACAGCAGTGGCAGCTAGGGATGTACAACTCTAGAGCAGTTTTGAGAGAAGATCGAATTGGTAGCAATTCAAGTTGCAGTTTATTGGCAATAGCATTCCAGACCCTGGGGGCATCAATAGCAAAGGCCCTTCCTCCAGTTTTTGTACGGCAATAGGGAATGTGAAGCTGGTAAATGAGTGAAGACCTGAGGTCAAATTTGTTCTTTGAAACAGAGAGGAGATCCAGCAGCAGGTAGTCTGCGGATTTTTTTGTAAGTACATCGTGAATAAATAAGATCTGGTGCACAAGCCGTCGAACATCAAGAGATGTTAAGTTTGACCCAATGTAGAGATCACAGTGGTGAGTCCTATATGGGCAGTTCAATGTAAATCTTAAGACCGAGTGATAGATGGAATCAAGCTTCTTCAGTACAGTACTTAGGGCTAATTTATACACAATGTCACAGTAGTCAAGTAGAGGCAGTATGGTAGCTTTTATCAATTCCAAACGAAACATTGGGGGGAAGCAGTGCTTGTGTCAATACAGAAAACCAATTTTTATTTTTGTCTTTTTACCAATATAATCAATGTGATCTTCAAAATTCAGTTTTGAATCCAGGATGACCCCAAGATACTTCTAGATCTTGACTTGCTCTATTTAATAATTATATAAGGAATGTAATTGGGGAAAAATAACTTCGTGCTTTAGTCCTGGTGAGAAGCATAGCACCTTGGTTTTGGAGGTATTCAGGACTAGTTTAAAAGCAACTAGCTGATGTTGTAGTTTGTTGAAATCACCCTGTAGCATAGAAATCACGTCATCCGGAGAGCGGCCAGCAGTAATCAGTATCGTGTCATCTGCAAAAAGATTTACCCTGGAATGATCCAGGTCAGTGCCCAAGTCATTGACATAAAGAGAGAACAAAAGGGGGCCGAGGATGGAACCCTGTGGAACCCCTTTTGTTATCTTAACACTGTTTGACCTCCAACCATCTGTGAATACAGTTTGGGTGCGAGAAAAGAGGTAATTTTGTAACCATTTTACTGCGTTTTCGGAAAAACCGAGGCAACTTAGTTTACTAAGCAGGGTGTTGTGGTCTACTGTATCCAAAGCTTTGGACAGGCCAAGAAAAAGACAGGCACAGTACTGCTTATTATCAAGGCTACTGTAAATGTGATTCAGAGTCTACTGCAGCAGATGTGGTGCTGTATTTTTTTTTGGAACCCAGATTGTTTTAGATGTAGTAGATTGTTGGTGGACAGGAAACTGCTAATTTGGTAGTTCAATAATTTTTCAAAAATTTTCATCAACGGGGACAAAATTGAGATATGTCGGTAGTTATCTGGATCATCTTTAGGGCCCCCTTTGTGAAGTGGACAGACATAGGAATGTTTCCATTCTAGAGGAACTGATGCTTCTTTGATGCACAGGTTGAAAATATGGGCTATAGGTTTGTATATTAGGTGACCAACAGTTAGTAGAGCAAAGACGGGAAAACTATCTGCTCCGGTAGAGGAGGACCCTTTGAGGTAGGACAGTTGTTTCAGAACATTACTTTCGTGGGTTGGCTGGAAACTAAATTAGTTTAATGTTTGGACAGGGGTGTAAGAATTTGCATGAGCAGGGGTGACTCCCAATACATTATCAAAAAGATTACCAGCTTCAGAAAAATGAAGGTTAAAATTGTCAACTATTTTTTGGGGATCTGAAAAATATTCTCCATTTTGGTTAAGCTCAATGGGCAGATTGTCTGTTTTGGATGCCTTTTTGATACATTTGATTGTTTTCCAGAAAATCCTGGCATTTCCATGTGATTCCAGGAGAGTGGAGGAAAAGTAGGCATTTTTTGCATGCCGTATTTTTTTAATGCATCTATTCCTTAAAATCCTGTATTCTAGCCAGTCATTGACCAAATTACTTTCTGAGCACATGCCCAAGCCTTGTCCCTAGTTTTCATGAGCTTTGTAATCAAAGGATCAAAGCATGGTGGGCAGTTGCCTTTAGTTTTAAATCTAACCACATTTTGATTTAAAGCTTTCGTGACTGCAGTAATTCATATTCGACGCAAAATTTGCCCCGATGAGAACTCTGCGTCTGCGTGCAATGCGTTGTCACATGATGGATGTGACACGGCAGGCCGCCGTTACAGCGATCGAACACGCGTCCGTACACAGGCGTTGCAGCGCTCTCGCAAGGCACGCACACCGACTCGCCACTATGACAACACGCAGTCTTGAAATGCACGGTTAAGCTCATTAAGACAAAGACACAACATGCACGAACGAACTTCCACGTGCGTACATGCTTTTCTCGCTGTGGTTGTTCCACCTGATGAAGATTGCTTGTGTTGCGATCGAAACGTCGTGAGAATTTTTTATTGTTTTATATATATTTTGTTATTTTGTTCTAACCACATTGTTAAGAATTTGGAGAAACGTGTACCTGAAGGTCTCCCAAGCCGTAGTCAGGTTGGGGATATCACAGACCTTGTCAATATCCGAGTGAAGCACATCATTAGTAAATGCCTGAGTGCTGAAGTGTCTCATAGAGTGCTTCTCAACCAATTTAGGGTGGGCTTTGGGTCTGGCTGATGATATCGCCCAAAAATGAACGAGTGATCACTAAGGTTATTACCCAGAACACCAGTCAGTGTGAAATTGTGAGGGGCATTTGTCAATAGGATGTCAAGCAGAGATGACTGTCCCGGATTTTTTAGGTTGGGTCTTGTGGAGACATTTATTAATTGAAACAGATTAAATTCATCTGCAAAATTTGTGGCCATGGCCGGCGGGTTTAGCCAATTCCAATTTAGATCACCCACTAAAACTAATTCACCTTTAGGGAGGCCTCCAAAGAGCTCTCTCAGTGCAGATGCAGCTTCAATATCCTTCCCACTGGGCGGTCGATAGCAGCACACTACCAATATCTGTTGATTATTTGGGATAATTATTCTGAAAGCCAGACCTTCAAAGCAACATTTTTTAAACAAGGAGTGAGCTAGTGAACATGCAATAGTATTACGAACATAGATGGCAATTCCACCTCCTTTAGATCCTCGGTCAAGCCGAAAAAGGTTGTAGTTGTCAATCGTAATCTGCAAGTCATTGACGGCAGGAGTGAGAAATGTTTCTGTTAGGCAAAAAATGTCCGGGTCAAGATTTGACACTTCTAGTTTTAGTTGACTTAATTTAATCACAAGCCCTCTGATGTTGACATGTAGAACACCAACACCTTTCCTGCCGGAAAAATCTGCAGAATTATACGAGTTCTTTACATTTGGGCCAGGGTGAAGCTCAATACCACCCAGAAATAAGAAAAGTAGAATTAATAGTTTGCACAAGTATTTTCTGTGAAAGGATGAAGAGCGGCGAACCTTGGACGAATAGTGAACCTTCATTCATTGCTCTGGGGAGTGGTAGTGCTGCGGTTCACACGCTCGCCACTCATGGCCAACATCAGTGACGGTTATGTTTAACCGGTCCTGGGCCTTTCCTAGGTCGACTCAACCTCAAATGAGTACCTGGTGCGGTGTGTAAACATCACCACGATAGAGACAAAGGCGGCCGGGCGTGGTGTTGGCCACCCACCCCCTCGTGTGCTATGCCGGCGCTTGCCCCAACAGTCGTTTACATCTATATGGGGGCCCTTGTCTATTTGTGGTGAGTGTGTGAGTCTATGGGCTTCTGTGCCGTGAAGCTATGGTTTTCTGTGTGGCGAGTCATTAGGTCTCTGTGAGTTTATAGGTCTGTGTGTGAGTCTGTGGGTCTCTGTGTGAGAGTAGGGCTCTCGATGTGGTGAGTTTATGGGTCAGTTTATGAGTGTATGGTTCTCTGTGTGGGTTTACGGGTCTGTTGGTTAGTGTATGGGTCTGTGTATGAGTCTATGGGTCTGTGTATGAGTCTATGGGTCTGTGTATGAGTCTATGGGTCTGTGTATGAGTCTATGGCTCTCTGTCACAGAGAGAGATGCGAGGAAGTATCACCTTCAAGATTGTCCCCAGCTACCAGAGCCAGCCATCATCGTGTGAGGTGAGTCATTCACTAACTCATCCATTCACTCACTCGCTCACCTGTTCCATTATTCATCTACTCATCCGTTTAACTTTCATTCATTTGTATGCCCCATTCATTCACCCCACTCGGTCAATTCACACCGACACACAGACACGCACAGTACCTTAGCTCGCACTCATCGCACAAAAACTTCTCGCCACAAATGAACCAAAGTATCTTGCCGATCCCATCGCAGCGGCTTTTGGCTGGCCGTTGAACAAAGATGGTGGTCACCGCTTCATCGAGCGGCACTTTCAGATGCTATGATGCCACTTTTAAATCATCATCTACGTTGACAAACTCATTTCTTGAGAACTGCTTCTTGTTGTTGTTGTCATGAGTTTGTTCTCCTTCCCCCACGCCTCGGATCAGCACGGTTGGCTACGTACTGTGCGAAAGAAGTTAAACGTACACACGCGCACACTTGGGGAGAAATCTCTGCAAATAAGCTAATGCCTCTTTTGCGCGAATAATTTTACTTGTCAGGTGTTAGGAAGCTTGGAAGCCGATTGGTCGGATCGCTCGGTGACGGCGAGCGGCCATTGCGACGCGGCCTGGGGCAGCGACAAAATGGCGCCGGCCGCCATTTTGGGGAAAACAAAATGGCGCGGCGCTCGCGTTTACAAAAAAAATTACTCTGCGAAACTCCCAAAAAAAACCTCGGAGGATTATATAAATAATAAGTGATAATGATCAATTACCCCTATAAAGGGACCTTTCGCAAGGAGGTCGCGATGTGCCGGCATGGAGATAAAAAAAGGAATTGAAAATATATAATAATCAAATGAATCTCCATCCCCCGCCACCCACCTCTCTCACTGCGTCTCTCCGCCCCCCCAACCCTGTGTCGCCCCCCCCCCATACCCACAGAGCGAGTCTCCCACCGTGAGGCTGCTCACCACCAACGGGCACTACACACGCAACAACTCCGTCATGGTGAGGAGAGCCCCCCCCACCACCACGTGCCCCCCCCGCCACCACCACGTGCCCCCCCCCCGCCACCACCACGTGCCCCCCCCCCCCCCCCCCCCACTATGTTGAATGATTGAGTGAGTGGGTGAAGTGGGTAACTCAATGAATGATTGTGTGGGTGTGGGTGAATGAGTGACTTGTTGATTGATTGCGTGGGTGGGTGACTGGTTGTTTGATTGCGTGGGTGAGTGACTGGTTGATTGATTACGTGGGTGAGTGACTGGTTGATTGATTGCGTGGGTGGGTGACTGGTTGATTGATTGCGTGGGTGGGTGACTGGTTGATTGATTGCGTGAGTGAGTGACTGGTTGATTGATTGCGTGGGTGGGTGACTGGTTGATTGATTGCGTGGGTGAGTGACTGGTTGATTGATTGCGTGGGTGAGTGACTGGTCGATTGATTGATTACGTGGGTGGGTGACTGGTTGATTGATTGATTACGTGGGTGGGTGACTGGTTGATTGATTGCGTGGGTGAGTGACTGGTTGATTGATTGATTGATTGCGTGGGTGAGTGACTGGTTGATTGATTGCGTGAGTGAGTGACTGGTTGATTGATTGCGTGGGTGAGTGACTGGTTGATTGATTGCGTGTGTGAATGACTGGTTGATTGATTGATTGCATGGGTGGGTGACTGGTTGATTGATTGCGTGGGTGACTGACTGGTTGATTGAATGATTGCGTGAGTGAGTGACTGGTTGTAATCATGGCACCTGGGTCTGTCCCGTGACCTCCTGTCAGCGAGCCTTCGACACTTCACGTGGCCTCAGTGCACCTGGCCTGGCACAGGCACCGTGGTGACGTCGCTGCCACTCAGTGGCGAATGGTGGCTGTTGTTTGAGTGAGTGAGTGAGATGGTGAGTGAGTGAGTGAGATGGTGAGTGAGTGAGATTGTGAGTGAGTGAGATTGTGAGTGAGTGGGTGAGATGGTGAGTGAGTGAGATGGTGAGTGAGATGGTGAGTGAGTGAGATGGTGAGTGAGATGGTGAGTGAGTGAGATGGTGAGTGAGTGAGATGGTGAGTGAGATGGTGAGTGAGTGAGATGGCGAATGGTGGCTGTTGTTTGAGTGAGTGGGTGAGACAGGTGAGTGAGATGGTGAGTGAGTGAGATGGTGAGTGAGATGGTGAGTGAGATGGTGAGTGAGTGAGATGGTGAGTGAGTGAGATGGTGAGTGAGTGAGGTGGTGAGTGAGATGGTGAGTGAGATGGTGAGTGAGTGAGATGGTGAGTGAGGTGGTGATTGAGATGGTGAGTGAGATGGTGAGTGAGATGGTGAGTGAGATGGTGAGTGAGAAGGTGAGTGAGTGAGATGGTGAGTGAGATGGTGAGTGAGATGGTGAGTGAGGTGGTGAGTGAGATGGTGAGTGACATGGTGAGTGACATGGTGAGTGAGATGGTGAGTGAGTGAGATGGTGAGTGAGATGGTGAGTGAGTGAGATGGTGAGTGAGATGGTGAGTGAGATGGTGAGTGAGTGAGATGGTGAGTGCTATGGTAAGTGAGATGGTGAGTGAGATGGTGAGTGAGTGAGATGGTGAGTGAGATGGTGAGTGACATGGTGAGTGACATGGTGAGTGAGATGGTGAGTGAGTGAGATGGTGAGTGAGTGAGATGGTGAGTGAGATGGTGAGTGAGTGAGATGGTGAGTGAGATGGTGAGTGAGTGAGATGGTGAGTGAGATGGTGAGTGAGATGGTGAGTGAGATGGTGAGTGAGGTAGTGAGTGAGATGGTGAGTGAGTGAGATGGTGAGTGAGTGAGATGGTGAGTGAGATGGTGAGTGAGTGAGATGGTGAGTGAGATGGTGAGTGAGTGAGATGGTGAGTGAGATGGTGAGTGAGATGGTGAGTGAGGTAGTGAGTGAGATGGTGAGTGAGTGAGATGGTGAGTGAGATGATGAGTGAGATGGTGAGTGACATGGTGAGTGAGATGGTGAGTGAGTGACATGGTGAGTGAGTGACATGGTGAGTGAGTGAGATGGTGAGTGAGTGAGATGGTGAGTGACATGGTGAGTGAGTGACATGGTGAGTGAGATGGTGAGTGAGTGAGATGGTGAGTGAGATGATGAGTGAGATGGTGAGTGACATGGTGAGTGAGATGGTGAGTGAGTGAGATGGTGAGTGAGTGAGATGGTGAGTGAGATGGTGAGTGAGTGAGATGGTGAGTGACATGGTGAGTGAGTGAGATGGTGAGTGAGTGAGATGGTGAGTGACATGGTGAGTGACATGGTGAGTGAGATGGTGAGTGAGTGAGATGGTGAGTGACATGGTGAGTGAGATGGTGAGTGAGTGAGATGGTGATGCGGTCCCAGTAGAGTACACGCCAGGCGTGTGTTGGGGAGGGTTCCCCATAACTCTCCACGTCGTCACTTCTCTGCTTGCAGGCCGTTGTGGCTCCAGCACCCAAGGCAAGACAGGTGACTGGTGGTGGTGGTGGTGGTGACGGTGGTGGTGGTGGTGGTGACGGTGGTGGTGGTGGCGATGGTGGCGGTGGTGGTGGTGGTGGTGACGGTGGTGGTGGTGGTGGTGACGGTGGTGGTGGTGGCGGTGGTGGCGGTGGTGGCGGCGGTGGTGGTGGCGGTGGTGGTGGCGGTGGTGGTGGTGACGGTGCTGACAACAGTGATGGTGGTGGTGGTGGTGACGGTGACGGTGGTGGTCGTGGTGGTGGTGACGGTGCTGACAGCAGTGATGGTGACGGTGGTGGTGACCATGGCGATGGTGACGGTGGTGACAGTGCTGACGGGTCTATGGGTCTCTGTGTGTTGAGTCTATGGGTCTCTGTTTGATGAGTCTGTGGGTCTCTATGAGTGAGTCTATGGGTCTCTATGAGTGAATCTATGGGTCTCTGTGTGGTCAGTCTATGGGTCTCTATGAGTGAGTCTATGGGTCTTTGTGTGATGAGTCTACGGGTCTCTGTGTGGTGAGTCTATGGGTCTCTGTGTGGTGAGTCTATGGGTCTCTGTGTGGTGAGTCTATGGGTCTCTGTGTGATGAGTCTGTGGGTCTCTATGAGTGAGTCTATGAGTCTCTATGTGGTGAGTCTATGGGTCTCTATGAGTGAGTCTATTGGTCTCTATGAGTTAGTCTATGGGTCTCTGTGTGGTGAGTCTGTGGGTCTCTATGAGTGAGTCTATGGGTCTCTATGAGTGAGTCTATGGGTCTCTATGAGTGAGTCTGTGGGTCTCTATGAGTGAGTCTATGGGTCTCTATGAGTTAGTCTATGGGTCTCTGTGTGGTGAGTCTATGGGTCTCTGTGTGGTGAGTCTATGGGTCTCTGTGTGATGAATCTGTGGGTCTCTATGCGTGAGTCTATGGGTCTCTATGTGGTGAGTCTATGGGTCTCTATGAGTGAGTCTATGGGTCTCTATGAGTGAGTCTCTGGGTCTCTATGAGTGAGTCTCTGGGTCTCTATGAGTGAGTCTGTGGGTCTCTATGAGTGAGTCTATGGGTCTCTATGAGTGAGTCTATGGGTCTCTATGAGTGAGTCTGTGGGTCTCTATGAGTGAGTCTGTGGGTCTCTATGAGTGAGTCTCTGGGTCTCTATGAGTGAGTCTGTGGGTCTCTATGAGTGAGTCTATGGGTCTCTATGTGGTGAGTCTGTGGGTCTCTATGAGTGAGTCTATGTGTCTCTATGAGTGAGTCTATGGGTCTCTGTGTGGTGAGTCTATGGGTCTCTATGAGTGAGTCTATGGGTCTCTGTGTGGTGAGTCTGTGGGTCTCTATGAGTGAGTCTGTGGGTGTCTGTGTGGTGAGTCTGTGGGTCTCTATGAGGGAGTCTATGGGTCTCTGTGTGGTGAGTCTATGGGTCTCTGTGTGGTGAGTCTGTGGGTCTCTATGAGTGAGTCTATGGGTCTCTGTGTGGTGAGTCTGTAGGTCTCTATGAGTGAGTCTATGGGTCTCTATGTGGTGAGTCTGTGGGTCTCTATGAGTGAGTCTATGTGTCTCTATGAGTGAGTCTATGGGTCTCTGTGTGGTGAGTCTGTAGGTCTCTATGAGTGAGTCTATGGGTCTCTGTGTGGTGAGTCTGTGGGTCTCTATGAGGGAGTCTATGGGTCTCTGTGTGGTGAGTCTATGGGTCTCTGTGTGGTGAGTCTGTGGGTCTCTATGAGTGAGTCTATGGGTCTCTGTGTGGTGAGTCTATGGGTCTCTGTGTGGTGAGTCTATGGGTCTCTGTGTGGTGAGTCTGTAGGTCTCTATGAGTGAGTCTATGAGTCTCTATGTGGTGAGTCTATGGGTCTCTATGAGTGAGTCTATTGGTCTCTATGAGTTAGTCTATGGGTCTCTGTGTGGTGAGTCTATGGGTCTCTATGAGTGAGTCTATGGGTCTCTATGAGTGAGTCTATGGGTCTCTATGAGTGAGTCTATGGGTCTCTATGAGTGAGTCTATTGGTCTCTATGAGTTAGTCTATGGGTCGCTATGAGTGAGTCTATGGGTCTCTATGAGTGAGTCTATGGGTCTCTATGAGTGAGTCTATGGGTCTCTATGAGTGAGTCTATGGGTCTCTATGAGTGAGTCTGTGGGTCTCTATGAGTGAGTCTATGGGTCTCTATGAGTGAGTCTATGGGTCTCTATGAGTGAGTCTATGGGTCTCTATGAGTGAGTCTGTGGGTCTCTATGAGTGAGTCTATGGGTCTCTATGAGTGTGAGTCTATGGGTCTCTATGAGTGAGTCTATGGGTCTCTATGAGTGAGTCTATGGGTCTCTGTGTGGTGAGTCTGTAGGTCTCTATGAGTGAGTCTATGGGTCTCTGTGTGGTGAGTCTGTGGGTCTCTATGAGGGAGTCTATGGGTCTCTGTGTGGTGAGTCTATGGGTCTCTGTGTGGTGAGTCTGTGGGTCTCTATGAGTGAGTCTATGGGTCTCTGTGTGGTGAGTCTATGGGTCTCTGTGTGGTGAGTCTATGGGTCTCTGTGTGGTGAGTCTGTGGGTCTCTATGAGTGAGTCTATGGGTCTCTATGAGTGAGTCTATGGGTCTCTGTGTGGTGAGTCTATGGGTCTCTATGAGTGAGTCTATGGGTCTCTATGAGTGAGTCTATGGGTCTCTATGAGTGAGTCTATGGGTCTCTATGAGTGAGTCTGTGGGTCTCTATGAGTGAGTCTATGGGTCTCTATGAGTGAGTCTATGGGTCTCTATGAGTGAGTCTATGGGTCTCTGTGGGTGTCACGCCGTGCCCCATTTAGAACCGACAGTCCCGGCGCTTCCAGAGTCATTTGGCTGCCGCTTGACCACACGATGACGATGATGACCACGATGACAGTGGTGGTGTGGGGGGGTGGTGGTGTGGTGGTGGTGGTGTGGGGGGGTGGTGGTGTGGGGGGGTGGTGGTGGTGTGGGGTGGTGGTGGTGTGGGGGGGTGGTGGTGTGGGGGGGTGGTGGTGGGGTGGTGGTGGTGTGGGGTGATGGTGGTAGTGGGGTGATGGTGGTAGTGGGGTGATGGTGGTGGTAGTGGGGTGGTGGTGGGGGTGGTGGTGGTGGTGTGGGGGGTGGTGGTGGGGGTGGTGGTGGTGGTGGTGTGAGGTGGTGGTGGTGTGAGGTGGTGGTGGTGTGGGGTGATGGTGGTAGTGGTGTGGGGTGGTGGTGGTGGGGTGGTGGCGTGAGGTGGTGGTGTGGGGTGGTTGTGGTGTGGGGTGTTGGGGGTGGTGGTGTGGGGTGGTGGTGGTGGTGTGGGGTGGTGGTGGTGGTGTGGGGTGGTGATGGTGGTGTTGGGTGGTGGTGGTGGTTGTAGTGGTGTGGGGTGGTGGTGGTGGTGTGGGGTGGTGATGGTGGTGTTGGGTGGTGGTGGTGGTTGTAGTGGTGTGGGGTGGTGGTGGTGGTGTGGGGTGGTGATGGTGGTGTTGGGTGGTGGTGGTGGTTGTAGTGGTGTGGGGTGGTGGTGGTGGTGTGGGGTGGTGGTGGTGTGGGGTGGTGGTGATGTGGGGTGGTGGTGTGGGGTGGTGGTGGTTGTAGGGATGTGGGGTGGTGGTGTGGTGTGGGGTGGTGGTGGTGGCGTGGGGTGGTGGTGGTGTGGGGTGGTGGTGATGTGGGGTGGTGGTGTGGGGTGGTGGTGGTTGTAGGGGTGTGGGGTGGTGGTAGTGGTAGTGGGGTGGTGGTGGTGGCGTGGGGTGGTGGTGTTGGGGGTGGTGGTGGTGGTGGTAGTGTGGGGTGGTGGTGTGGTGTGGGGTGGTGGTGGTGGTGTGGGGTGGTGGTGTGGGGTGGTGGTGGTGGGTGGTGGTGGTTGTAGTGGTGTGGGTTGGTGGTGTGGTGTGGGGTGGTGGTGGTGTGGGGTGGTGGTGTGGGGTGGTGGTGGTTGTAGTGGTGTGGGTTGGTGGTGTGGTGTGGGGTGGTGGTGGTGTGGGGTGGTGGTGGTGTGGGGTGGTGGTGGTGGTGGTAGTGGTGGTGGTGGTAGTGTGGGGTGTAGTGGTTATTGCTGTGCTGTGCTACGAACTCGCCGTCCCAAGTTCGATTCCCGCTCGCCGCGGCCACCAACACTCATTGACGCCGATTATCACCTGAACCGGTCCTGGGCCTCCTCCCCTAGGTCGACTCGGCCTCAAATGGAGCAGCTGGTGCGGTGTGTAGTGAGCATCGCTCGCACTGGGGAGACAAAGGCGGCCGGGCGTGGTGCTGGGCACTCACCCCCTGTGCCGGCCTTCATAGGCAGCGCCGCTACTCACAGCACTTGCCCCTACAGTCTGCTGTGTGTGTGTGTGTGGTGGAATCTTTGTCAGTGAGCGCTACTCACAGCACTTGCCCCTACAGTCTGCTGATGCTGTGTGTGTTGTGTGTAGTAGAATCTTTGTCTGTGAGCGCTACTAACAGCACTTGCCCCTACAGTCTGCTGTGTGTGTTGTGTGTAGTAGAATCTCTCAGTGAGCGCTACTCACAGCACTTGCCCCTACAGTCTGCTGTGTGTTGTGTGTGGTAGAATCTTTCAGTGAGCGCTACTAACAGCACTTGCCCCTACAGTCTGCTGTGTGTGTGTTGTGTGTGGTAGAATTTGTCTGTGAGCGCTACTAACAGCACTTGCCCTACAGTCTGCTGTGTGTGTGTTGTGTGTAGTAGAATCTCTCAGTGAGCGCTACTAACAGCACTTGCCCCTACAGTCTGCTGTGTGTCTTGTGTGGTAGAATCTCTCTGTGAGCGCTACTCACAGCACTTGCCCCTACAGTCTGCTGTGTGTGTTGTGTGGTAGAATCTCTCTGTGACCGCTACTCACAGCACTTGCCCCTACAGTCTGCTGTGTGTGTGTTGTGTGTGGTAGAATTTGTCTGTGAGCGCTACTAACAGCACTTGCCCCTACAGTCTGCTGATGCTGTGTGTGTTGTGTGTGGTAGAATCTTTCAGTGAACTCTACTAACAGCACTTGCCCCTACAGTCTGCTGTGTGTGTGTTGTGTGGTAGAATCTTTCAGTGAGCGCTACTCACAGCACTTGCCCCTACAGTCTGCTGTGTGTGTGTTGTGTGGTAGAATCTTTCAGTGAGCTCTACTAACAGCACTTGCCCCTACAGTCTGCTGTGTGTGTGTTGTGTGGTAGAATCTTTCAGTGAGTGCTACTCACAGCACTTGCCCCTACAGTCTGCTGTGTGTGTGTTGCGTTGTAGAATCTTTCAGTGAGCGCTACTCACAGCACTTGCCCCTACAGTCTGCTGTGTGTGTGTTGTGTGGTAGAATCTTTCAGTGAGTGCTACTCACAGCACTTGCCCCTACAGTCTGCTGTGTGTGTGTTGTGTGGTAGAATCTCTCTGTGAGCGCTACTCACAGCACTTGCCCCTACAGTCTGCTGTGTGTGTTGTGTGGTAGAATCTTTCAGTGAGAGCTACTCACAGCACTTGCCCCTACAGTCTGCTGTGTGTGTGTTGTGTGGTAGAATCTTTCAGTGAGTGCTACTCACAGCACTTGCCCCTACAGTCTGCTGTGTGTGTGTTGTGTTGTAGAATCTTTCAGTGAGCGCTACTCACAGCACTTGCCCCTACAGTCTGCTGTGTGTGTGTTGTGTGGTAGAATCTCTCTGTGAGCGCTACTCACAGCACTTGCCCCTACAGTCTGCTGTGTGTGTGTTGTGTGGTAGAATCTCTCTGTGAGCGCTACTCACAGCACTTGCCCCTACAGTCTGTTAGAGGCTACATGGGGAAATTACTGGCGAAACGTCGTACTCAGATTGTAAATGTTGTGGCTCTCCAACACCCCGGTTAGTGCTCTGCTAGTGACGAATTGGCCACGTTCTGTTTACGTGACAACCCTTACTAGTTGGCTGTGTCGGGTGGTGGAGGGTTTTAACGACACAACATTTATATGTTCACGCAATCTAACCCAAAAACGTCTATTATGGATGATGTTGTTCGCGAAGGCCGACGTGTTAAACTACACGGGGGAACTTGGTCTTTGTGTGGTGGTCGTGGTGGTGGTGGCGGTGGTGAAGGTCGAATCATTTTACGGCTTCAAGTCCGTGACGGACTGGAGTTGGAGTGGGCGGCTGTTCTGTTCCCGAGTGTTTGGTTTCTCCACTTTTATTGCCGATTATTATTATTATTTCATTTTTGCTTTTCGCTTAAGGGCGGCATTGCCACAGTGCCCTGCTTGGGTGGCGAGGACCTCAGAGGTAGCTCTGTGTTCTCCACTTCCACGGGTTCCGTTCTGAGTGTGAGCAGAGCGTCACTCTAGGGAGCCGGGATCTCAGAGGTAGCTCTGTGTTCTCCACTTCCACGGGTTCTGTTCTGAGTGGCCCAGAGCGTCACTCTAGGGAGCCGGGGCCTCAGAGGTACTTCTGCGGTATCCGCTTCTGCGGGCTGATCCCCAGGGACCCCCACTGGGGGGTTGCCGCGAGGTTCTCCGTCTCGCGTCGACGGCGCCGGCGGCAGCGGCCGGCGGCAGCGAGCGAACAGCAGGGAGAGCTCACGGCCCTCGCCCCCCTACCCCCTCCCCCCTCCCCCTGCCCCCTCCCCCCTCTTCCCTGCCCCCTCCCTACCCCCCCCCCTCCCTACCCCCCCTCCCCCCCGTGGCGCTGCGGGCCACAGATCTTCGTGCGGGCGCTCTTTGACTACGACCCACAGCGAGACGACCTCATCCCGTGCAAGGAGGCCGGCATCCGCTTCCGCACGAGCAACATCCTGCAGATCATCAGCAAGGACGACCACAACTGGTGGCAGGGCCGGCTGGAGCACTCCAAGATCGGCACAGCTGGACTCATCCCCTCGCCCGAGCTGCAGGAGTGGTACGCGCTCGGGCGGCGGTGGCGGTGGTGGAGGTTGTTGTTGTAGTAGTGGCAGCTGTGGTGGTGGTGGTGGTGAGAAGGTCGGTGGTTGTAGTGGCGGTGGTGGTGAAGAGCGGTGCTAGTGGCAGCGGTGGTTGCGGTGGTGTTGGCAGAGGTGGTGGTGGTTGTGGCAGTAGTTGTGGTTGTGGGTGGTGATGTTGGCAGTGGTGGCGGTGGTGTTGGCAGTGGTGGCGGTGGTGGGTGGTGGTGGTGTTGGCAGTGGTGGCAGTGGTGGTGGTTGTGGCAGTAGTTGTGGTTGTGGGTGGTGGTGGTGTTGGCAGTGCTGGCGGTGGTGGTGGTGTTGGCAGTGGTGGCGGTGGTGGGTGGTGGTGGTGGTGTTGGCAGTGGTGGTGGTGGTTGTGGCAGTAATTGTGGTTGTGGGTGGTGGTGGTGTTGGCAGTGGTGGCGGTGGTGGTGGTTGTGGCAGTAGTTGTGGTTGTGGGTGGTGGTGGTGGTGTTGGCAGTAGTGGCGGTGGTGGTGGTGGTGGTTGTGGCAGTAGTTGTGGTTGTGGGTGGTGGTGGTGGTGGTGGTTGTGGCAGTAGTTGTGGTTGTGGGTGGTGGTGGTGGTGGTGTTGGCAGGAGTGGAACTCGGTGCAGCACTGGCTCACAATGGCTGTGACTCACGCCCAGGGGTGGAAGCTCACTGCCCCCCCCGTGCCCCCCCCCGTGCCCCCCCCCTTGGCCCCCCCCACGTGCCCCCCCACGTGCCCCCCACCCCCCCACGTGGCCCAGGCGCGTGGCGTGCCTGGCGATGGAGAGAGCCAAGCAGGAGCAGCAGGCGAGCTGCACGTGGTTCGGCAAGAAGCGGAAGCAGTACAAGGACAAGTACCTGGCCAAGCACAACGCAGGCAAGCAGGGGGGGGGGTCCTCACGGGGCGGGGGGGGGTCCCCACGTGGCCGGGGGGGTCCCCACGGGGCCGGTCCCCACGTGGGGGTCCCCACGTGGGGGTCCCCACGGGGCCGGTCCCCACGTGGCCCGTCCCGTGCCGCAGCAGCGCCTTGCCTCGTGAAGATCCCCGCCATCACGGCGGCCGCTCCACAAGAGAGACATGGGGAGGCCGCTTTGTGACCGACCCCCGTGGTCGGGCACGCGTGCCGCTGGACGGGAGGTCAAGCTAAAGGCGCAGGCCTGCAAGTGCTTGCTGGGGCCCGCGACCGGTACCACGCAGAAAGGGCGAACGCGTACCGAGGGTTCATGTCGATAGTCGGTCGGGGTGAGTTGTGGGGTGAGCGTGGTGAGTTTGAGGTGAGGATGCAGTGAGAGTGAGCAGAGGCTGTGTGTGTGCGTGCGTGTGTCAGCCTGTGTGTGTGTGTGTGTACGTGGGGAGCGGTGGTGCAGCGGTTAGCGCTACGCCGCGCTACTAACCCGGCGACCTGAGTTCGATTCCCGCTGGCCACCCACTCCCTCGTGTGCCACAGTGCCGGTAGCCTTCATAGGTGCTGCTGCTCGCTACTCACAGCACTTGCCCCTACAGCCTGTTAGAGGCTACGCGGGGGACCTTTGTCTGTGTGTAGGTGCTGCTGCTTGCTAACAGCACTTGCCCCTACAGCCTGTAGGAGCTGTGTGTGTGTGTGGGGTGTGTGTGTAGGGTGTGTGTGTGGGGTGGGTGTGTGTGTGTATGGTGTGTGTGTGTGTGGGGTGTGTGGGGTGTGTGGGATGTGTGTGTGTGTAGGGTGTGTGTGGGGTGTGTGGGGTGTGTGTGTGTGGGGTGTGTGTGTAGGGTGTGGGGTGTGGGTGGGGTGTGTGGGGTGTGTGGGGTGTGTGGGGTGTGTGGGATGTGTGTGTGTGGGGTGTGTGTGTGTGTGGGGTGTGTGTGTGTGTGGGGTGTGTGTGGGGTGTGTGGGATGTGTGTGTGTGTGGGATGTGTGTGTAGGGTGTGTGGGTGGGGTGTGTGTGGGGTGTGTGGGGTGTGGGGTGTGTGTGGGGTGTGTGTGTGTGTGTGTGGGAGCTGTGTGTGTGGGGTGTGTGTGTGTGTGGGGTGTGTGTGTGGGGGGTGTGTGTGTGGGGTGTGTGTGGGGTGGGTGTGTGTATGGGAGCTGTGTGTGTGGGGTGTGTGTGTGTGTGCTCCCCATAGGAGCTGTGTGCGTGCCGTGTGCCGACTCATCTGTGTGTGTGTGTGTGCGCGATCTATTTGTGTGTACTCCCCGTAGTAGGAGCTGTGTGTGTGGTGTGTGCTGACCCGTGTTTGTGTGTGTATGTATGTGTGTGTGGGAGCTGTGTGCGTGTGCTGTGTCTAGAACCTGTGTGTGAGCTGTGTGAGTGTGTAAGACTTGTGAGCTGTGTGTGCACTGTGCTGACCCGTGTGTGTGCTGTGTGTGAGCTGTGTGTGTGAGCTGTGTGTGTGAGCTGTGTGTGTGCTGTGTGTGTGAGCTGTGTGTGTGCTGTGTGAGCTGTGTGTGCATGCTGTGTGTGTGAGCTGCGTGCTTGAGCTGTGTGTGTGCTGTGTGCATGCTGTGTGTGTGAGCTGTGTGTGTGAGCTGTGTGTGAGCTGTGCTGAACCGTGTGCGAGCTATGCGTATGTGAGATGTGTGTGTGTTGTGTGTGCGTCGTGTGAGCCGCGTGTGTGTGTGTTCTGTGCTGACCAGTGTGTGTGTGTGCGTGTTCTGTGCTGACCAGTGCGTGTGTGTGTGTGCTCTGTGCTGACCAGTGTGTGTGTGTGTGTGTGCTCTGTGCTGACCAGTGTGTGTGTGTGCTCTGTGCTGACCAGTGTGTGTGTGCGTGCTCTGTGCTGACCAGTGTGTGTGTGTGTGTGCTCTGTGCTGACCAGTGCGTGTGTGTGTGTGTGCTCTGTGCTGACCAGTGTGTGTGTGCTCTGTGCTGACGAGTGTGTGTGTGTGTGTGTGCTCTGTGCTGACGAGTGTGTGTGTGTGTGCTCTGTGCTGACCAGTGCGTGTGTGTGTGTGTGCTCTGTGCTGACCAGTGTGTGTGTGTGTGTGTGCTCTGTGCTGACGAGTGTGTGTGTGTGTGCTCTGTGCTGACCAGTGTGTGTGTGTGTGTGTGCTCTGTGCTGACCAGTGTGTGTGTGTGTGTGCTCTGTGCTGACCAGTGTGTGTGTGTGTGTGTGCTCTGTGCTGACCAGTGTGTGTGTGTGTGCTCTGTGCTGACCAGTGTGTGTGTGTGTGTGCTCTGTGCTGACGAGTGTGTGTGTGTGTGCTCTGTGCTGACCAGTGTGTGTGTGTGTGTGTGCTCTGTGCTGACTAGTGTGTGTGTGTGTGTGCTCTGTGCTGACCAGTGTGTGTGTGTGTGTGTGCTCTGTGCTGACGAGTGTGTGTGTGTGTGCTCTGTGCTGACGAGTGTGTGTGTGTGTGCTCTGTGCTGACCAGTGCGTGTGTGTGTGTGTGCTCTGTGCTGACCAGTGTGTGTGTGTGTGTGTGCTCTGTGCTGACGAGTGTGTGTGTGTGTGCTCTGTGCTGACCAGTGTGTGTGTGTGTGTGTGCTCTGTGCTGACCAGTGTGTGTGTGTGTGTGCTCTGTGCTGACCAGTGTGTGTGTGTGTGTGTGCTCTGTGCTGACGAGTGTGTGTGTGTGTGCTCTGTGCTGACGAGTGTGTGTGTGTGTGTGCTCTGTGCTGACCAGTGTGTGTGTGTGTGTGTGCTCTGTGCTGACCAGTGTGTGTGTGTGTGTGCTCTGTGTGACCAGTGTGTGTGTGTGTTCTGTGCTGACCAGTGTGTGTGTGTGTGCTCTGTGCTGACCAGTGTGTGTGTGTGTGCTCTGTGCTGACCTGTGTGTGTGTGCTCTGTGCTGACCAGTGTGTGTGTGTGTGCTCTGTGCTGACCAGTGTGTGTGTGTGTGCTCTGTGCTGACCTGTGTGTGTGTGTGTGCTCTGTGCTGACCAGTGTGTGTGTGCTCTGTGCTGACCTGTGTGTGTGTGTGTGCTCTGTGCTGACCAGTGTGTGTGTGCTCTGTGCTGACCAGTGTGTGTGTGCGTGCTCTGTGCTGACCAGTGTGTGTGTGTGCTCTGTGCTGACCAGTGTGTGTGTGCTCTGTGCTGACCAGTGTGTGTGTGTGTGTGTGCTCTGTGCTGACCAGTGTGTGTGTGTGTGTGCTCTGTGCTGACCAGTGTGTGTGTGCTCTGTGCTGACCAGTGTGTGTGTGCTCTGTGCTGACCAGTGTGTGTGTGCTCTGTGCTGACCAGTGTGTGTGTGCTCTGTGCTGACCAGTGTGTGTGTGTGCTCTGTGCTGACCAGTGTGTGTGTGCTCTGTGCTGACCAGTGTGTGTGTGTGCTCTGTGCTGACCAGTGTGTGTGTGCTCTGTGCTGACCAGTGTGTGTGTGCTCTGTGCTGACCAGTGTGTGTGTGCTCTGTGCTGACCAGTGTGTGTGTGCTCTGTGCTGACCAGTGTGTGTGTGCTCTGTGCTGACCAGTGTGTGTGTGTGCTCTGTGCTGACCAGTGTGTGTGTGCTCTGTGCTGACCAGTGTGTGTGTGTGCTCTGTGCTGACCAGTGTGTGTGTGCTCTGTGCTGACCAGTGTGTGTGTGCTCTGTGCTGACCAGTGTGTGTGTGCTCTGTGCTGACCAGTGTGTGTGTGCTCTGTGCTGACCAGTGTGTGTGTGTGTGTGTTCTGTGCTGACCAGTGTGTGTGTGCTCTGTGCTGACCAGTGTGTGTGTGCTCTGTGCTGACCAGTGTGTGTGTGCTCTGTGCTGACCAGTGTGTGTGTGCTCTGTGCTGACCAGTGTGTGTGTGCCCCTGTGGTTTTGCATGCTCTCTTGTCGGCGGTGCGGCCCACGTGACGCTGTGAGTAACTCCACGGCCCCCCCCCCCCGCCCGGCTCCAACACCGCCCCCGCACGAGTCCTGCCAACGACCCCCGTGTCCATGACCCCGTGTCCATGACCCCGTGTCCATGACCCCCTGTCCTACTGTGACCTTGTGTCCTACTGTTATCTCGTGTCCTACTGTGACCCCGTGTCCTACTGTGACCCCGTGTCCTACTGTGACCTCGTGTCCATGACCCCGTGTCCTACTGTGACCCCGTGTCCATGACCCCGTGTCCATGACCCCGTGTCCTACTGTGACCCCGTGTCCATGACCCCGTGTCCATGACCCCGTGTCCTACTATGACCTCGTGTCCTACTGTGACCTCGTGTCCATGACCCCGTGTCCTATTATGACCCCGTGTCCATGACCCCGTGCCCTCCCATGACCCCGTGTCTCCCTCTCACCCACATCAATCCCCCCCCACTGAATCTTAACCCCCCCCCCCTTCCCGCCCCCCCACCGCCAAAATCTCCTGCACTGTCAATTCAAATTGCCGCGCCGGGAGATTGGAATCGAACCTCTGGGTCAGGAGTCGAACCTGTGGGGGTGGGGGTGGGGGGGGGGGTGGTCGCTGGCACCTGGCGAGCTGCGCCTGGGTTCGAGTCCAGAGCGGAGAGCGGTGCCTCCTGGCCTCTAGAGAGGGGGGGGGGGGGGGGTGAGAGTGACTGTGAGTGACTGAGTGTGAGTGTGTGAGTGTGAGTGACTGACTGTGAGTGTGTGAGTGTGAGTGACTGACTGTGAGTGTGTGAGTGTGAGTGACTGAGTGTGAGTGACTGAGTGAGTGACTGACTGTGAGTGACTGAGTGTGAGTGTGTGAGTGTGAGTGACTGAGTGTGAGTGTGTGAGTGTGTGAGTGTGTGTGAGTGTGAGTGTGTGAGTGTGAGTGACTGAGTGTGAGTGTGTGACTGAGTGTGAGTGACTGAGTGAGTAAGTGCGAGTGACTGAGTGAGTGTGAGCAAGTGTGAGTGAGTGAGTGAGTGACTGAGTGAGTGTGCGTGAGTGACTGAGTGAGTGACTGAGTGTGAGTGAGTGACTGAGTGAGTGTGACTGAGTGAGTGTGCGTGAGTGACTGAGTGACTGAGTGAGTGTG